CGCGGGTTATAAGTACATGGTTCTAGCAGTCGTCGGTATATATCCAAGTAAGATGGGCGAGTGAGAGGGATCTTTGCTCGACTGTGTGAAGTGTACAGACCACTGCGTTTATTTATTTCTCGCAATAAAGTAAAAATATGTTAGTGGTTATTGGATGTCATAGGTGTCCGTGTATCGTTTGAAGATTCACTGCTCAACATCGCGCGCGCTTTCATTTCCAGTTTTTTAACTCTGATTTGAATTACCCAATTACACTAGAATTTAAAAACTAAATGGTTCGTTATTATACTGCCAGTACACAAATATGAGGAAAACAAATACTTGTATGCTGTTCGATACCAAGGGTCAATATAATCTTGTACATTTCAGGCAACAAACCCGAAACTATCAGGATCTTCGATAAAGACCAATGGTGAGACTGTATGACTCATATATAAAACTTGTCAGCCAGTGTCTTATTCATGTTCTACAATTATTCCTCCATTTGCGAGGTTCCATTTTGTGGTTTTACTGTTGAAGTAAAGCATATTATGAGCCGTTAGTTCATAGCAAAACCTCTCAATAGGTTTTCGTGTGTTTGACAAACACCCACAAAAGGCTTATCCAACTTTAGTGAACACAGCGAGCACGGGTATGGTGCTGACAAACAATCCAATTCAAAACGAATATTAGATTCGAACACACGATTATAGGATTCTGTCACAGCAGAATGACGACTGGGCTATCGTGCACCAGGCCGGCTAATTAAAGCACTGCAGTCAACCATCATGCACCAGGCGGCTAATTAAAGCACTGCAGTGAACCATCGTGCACCAGGCAGCTAATTAAAGCACTGCAATCAACCATAGTGCACCAGGCAGCTAATTAAAGCACTGCATTGAACCATCGTGCTCCAGGCAGCTAATTAAAGCACTGCACTGAACCATCGTGCACCAGGACGGCTAATTAAAGCACTGCAGTCAACAATCGTGTACCAGGCGGCCTATTAATGCACTGCATTGAACCATCGTGCACCAGGACGGCTAATTAAAGCACTGCAGTCAACAATCGTTCACCAGGCGGCTTATTAATGCACTGCATTGAACCATCGTGCTCCAGGCGGCTAATTAAAGCACCGCAGTGAACCATCGTGCACCAGGACGGCTAATTAAAGCACTGCAGTCAACAATCGTGCACCAGGACGGCTTATTAATGCACTGCATTGAACCATCGTGTACCAGGCGGCTAATTAATGCACTGCATTGAACCATCGTGCTCCAGGCGGCTAATTAAAGCACTGCAGTCAACAATCGTGCACCAGGCGGCTTATTAATGCACTGCATTGAACCATCGTGTACCAGGCGGCTAATTAATGCACTGCATTGAACCATCGTGCACCAGGCGGCTAATTAAAGCACTGCAGTCAACCATCGTGTCCAGGCGGCTAATTAAAGCACTGCAGTCAACCACCGTGTACCAGGCGGCTAATTAAAGCACTACATTGAACCATCGTGCACCAGGCGGCTAAAAAAAACACTGCACTCAACCATCGTGTCCAGGCGGCTAATTAAAGCACTGCAGTCAACCATCGTGCACCAGGCGGCTAATTAAAGCACTGCGATTTAGCAGTTAAAGATGATTCTATGTGATGTCGTTGAAAGCATTGATCAAATTTGTTTCAGTTCTCCCCGCATGGCTTTCTTGTTTATTCATCCTATCCGGAAAAAGAAGACGATTTGAACTCTGAATGAAGTTCTTCCCCGAACTGTCGACATTCCCATTGTACAACCTTGATCACAGCGAGAGAGCGAAAGCCGTATATCATTGCAGCTTATACGTATACGTAGCAATATTCCATCTGTATGATGGCGGTCTGTAAATAATAGAGTCTGGACCAGATAATCCAGAGATCGACATCATGAGTACAGATCTACGCAAATGTGATACGGTGACATGTATCAACAAAGTCAATGAGATTAACCACCCGATCCCGTTAGTCGCCTCTTATAAATAATCGAATATCATTCTGAACAGTGATGCGGTTGGGGTACAATGAAAACACAATCATCCAGGTTTCACATTGCAACCTGCTGACGTTCATATGGGTTAAACCTTACACAAGCATTGCTAATGTCAGTCTGTTCTGACCCAGAATCCCAGTTGGACACAATTTATAAGAGCCATCGTTTATTATGAACCGTGAATTCTTAAAATAATTTGTTGGTGCATCAAAATAACTACCTTGTATATATCATTTTAATTGAGAACAGTATCTTGACCTTTAAAAATAAGGATACCTCTAGACACTTGCATATAAATTCACGTATTTTGAAGCTCATTCAATATATTGGGAAGTTTCATACTTGGGTGCTGGAATTCGCTTTGCATGACAGATGAACTATAATAATGAGAAAGAATCGGATGTTCTCCTTTTAAGTAGTACATGTTTCGTTACGAGACCATAGGTTGGCGTCTTGTAGAGTCAAATCACTTGAACTAATACTCGTTTTCTATTTTGATATCGCAAATATACTGGTAAGTTTTCAAAACATAACGATTATAAAAAATGTATTGTCGCAGATGGGACAGTATGAAGCATTTAACGTCAGTCACGAACAATTACGTGCCAATTCCTTTCAGAAACCAGGGTTCCAAGCAAATTATTTCAGCATTTTGTCTTGGCTTTATTACAAAATCACCTCTTGCCAGTACTTTCTCCAGTCATACTGCAGCCATATGGCTTACAGGGACATTACACGTCTCTCATTCAACAACAATATTAGTCATATGTGTGTCTCATGAAGACGTCACAGCTGTATATCTATGGCTAATTGTCTATATTGTCTAAAGGAAATTACCCACTTTGCTGAAACAACAGGATTACAATCACTAGAGGTGATTACCTCTAGAGGTCCCTGAATCTTACATACACCGACCACAGGGCTTAGAATCAATAGTGGCTGAATGAGTATATTTTTACGCCGTTTTTAAGCAATATTCCGCCAACATCACGGCTTGGAACACCAGAAATGGGCTCCACACATTGTACCCATGTGGGGAATCGGGCCTCGGCTGCCCGACCGCCACCTTCAGTACCTGTGTGGGTAAAGATTTGCCAGTAATAAAGTTGAAGTTGTTTGAATTAATAACGTCAGTTATGGGGAAAACAATATGTTAAATATACTACTCATAAAAAGTTAAAGAACACCCTATTTTGCACGTTAATCTGTCGTGTCTGGTGGGTACATATACCCGAGGCAAGGTGCGGAGCTAGGCTGGAATTCCGGACTTATATTTTGGTTGGAATTTATGCATAGTCCAATAACAATTAGTAACGAAATCGACATCCGGTTCGTAAACTGTCGTGCAGAGTTCGCTTGATTGTAGGACGTGCAAGGCATGTGTCAACTTGAGTCGTCAACATATACTTTCCGAATCTTTTCATGTTTTTAAACAAGGTGCTCACGTGATTTGATGCACGTCGCGAAGTAAGACCCGTTTTATTACTATATAGATCTTGATTATCGATCAGATCGTCTTGACTGGGCGCCGCCATTTTGTTTGAAGCAAATGCAAGTGGTACTGTAACAGTTTATCAAGGGTGGAAACGTGACTTTTACAGTCAGTTAACTCCCTTGTCTCGGGAAAAATGGTTGGGTTTTGCTACACATAGCCTTCCAATTGTTGGTGTGGTGTTCTTCAACATGTTATGTATATGGTTGAAACACTTATAAGGTGGGATAAAAACTCTTAAATACATCATGAATAAATACGAACAGAAAGAAATACAAAGATGGACGGATTTATTCACTTTACAAAATGATTTATAAATACTTCTATGTACAAGATCGGTATAAATTGACCCCAAAATAATATAATGTTTATCATTCAAACTCAACATATGTCACTGAGTTGGAGAATTACTCAAAGGTTACTTCCTAAATAAGGAGTGAGTGAGTATGGTTGTACGCCGCATTTAGGAATATTACAGCAATATCATCGCTCTGGGGGGGGGGGGGGGAGAACACCAGAAATGGACTTCACACATTGTACCCATGCATGTGGGGAATCGAACCTGGGCCTTGGTGTGTAGAAAGCTTTCACCATTTGGCCACCCCACCGCCCAATAGTGAATAAAAGCAGAGACCATAAAATAGATTTGATTTTATGGTCTCTGGTATAAGGTAGTTTTAACCTCACTTTGACCAGTATTTAAGGTATCTTTAGTGAGGAGACCATGAATCATGCTGCAGTTGAAATCAAGGAGTTTAAACCATTACAATGACATCAATCTGTTGTGCCAGTTGATTCTGAGCCAGCAACTCATTGGTCATTCTGAAAGTGCATTTGAACATGTAAAACTGATGCAATCATAGATCTTGCAAAATTATAGAGATATCTACATCAACCCTAACATGGTTTTAAGTAAGAGAAATCACTCAAATCTGTTGATTGTCAAGATTTCCCCATTACATAAAGATAAGAACAAGATACTGATGTGGCAGATCTTTGAACCCATAGCCAGCAGATCTTGGCATCACTTGTAGTGCCATTGGCCACAGAGTTATGCTCTGTTTTGGTTTGGTTTGTTTAACGTTGTTTAATATTCCAGCTAAATGACGGCGGTCTGTAAATAATCGAGTCTGGACCAGACAATCCAGTGATTGACATCATGCGCATTGATCCATGCAATTGAGATCGATGACATGCATCAACCAAGTCAGCGAGCCTGACCACCCTATCCCGTTAGTAGCCTCTCATGACAAGCATAGACGCCTGTTACGGCAAGCATGGGTTGCTGAAGACCGATTCTAACCCAGATCTTTCATGCTTTGTAATCTTACTGCTGAGAGTTTCGGCCGAACTTTGTTGAGAAGGTAATATTCCTTAGATGCAAGCCCCCAAACAACACAAAACCATTAATCTATAAGTCATATATATCGTTTGGATAATGATAATGTTGCTCTGGGAATGATATCTGAAGACAAAGGTGAGCATTGACATCGGACCTAGTTGTTTTCATCTTCCTGGAACGTATGAAACGACGAAAGAAAAGCAATGTTGTTGTTGTTTCTACTAGAAGATGATATCCTCCTGGTACATCTCAAAATCTGCCGCCTCCTCATCTTCCTCGCCCAGTCTCTTCCACCAGGGGAGCTGTAGCCGCTTCATCGTCTCTACATGGTTGGAGCGAGCCTTGGCACCAACTGGCACCGATCTGCTGGTGTACATGTGGACATCCTTCTGTGTCACAGACTTCAGGGGCGGTGCCACTGCATGTAGTTTAAAAAGAAATACACAGAACTCAGATAGAACATATATAACTCCATGGAACATGGAACTCAGAAATTGTGGGGCATCTATCAATCATGCGATGAAATATTCAACTAGGAAAGTTGGGTAAAGTGGAATTTGTTTAGTATATGGGTTATCCGTTGGTTGAGACAAGTTCAGATATTAGATAGTACTAATGGCAAATATGTTGGACAAGTCTTTAGCTTTACCTTGGTGAAAACAATACATAGGGATTATTACACTCACATGTGTGTCACACTGATTTTACAAAACGAGTGTCAGAATTCTTGTATTTCCCGAGCAAGAGCAAGGGTATTACCTGAATTCTTCCACAAGTTCTGTACAATCAGTATGACACTGTGAGTGTAATAATTTCTTTAGTACCAATTACTTCTTAATCCTTGAGCTCCCCTTTAGAAAAATGCAGTGATCACCACCACTGTCCTAGAAACCACAATTTGTCAAATGACATCAACAATCTTCAGCTTTGACGTTGTTTCTAGTATGACGTCATTCCGACCTTATGTCTCAATAAGATTTGAATGTCATCAACAATGCTGTCCGGATGACAGAAACGATACACTGGTGTGCGAGAAGTGACATTTGCACTAGTCCACATATGATTTTATAACTCGGTCATTTCTAAACCTATGGGTAATAAATCAAATGATGAAGCTTGAGTTCTTGAGAATCATTGTATTATTGTGGAATAAGCAGTATTTCAGCAAAATTGTACACATTAAATATTCCTCAAGACATTTCAAGACGCCCTCCCAAGCGTTTATCATATCACAAGTCTAGAATAACATTATATTTTCTATCTTCAATTGATCTCCATCAACCCACAAAAACTTTTTCCATCTAAATCTTTTTCTAAAAATTATTGAGATAATTTTTATAATGACCCTTACACAGTATGAGCTCCGAATCGGTGTCAAGACGAGCAATGAGGGCATCTCGCTGTTGCTGTGTGCGTCGCTGTGAGCGCACACTGGCATAATGATGATGTAGCATCTCGGCAGCCTTTGTGTGAATCTCCAGCAGCTCCTCGGGGGTCTTACTGGGAGTCTGGAAGACAAACGGTTCCTCAGATGAGTTAGTGGGTAACTGAGTGTGGCATGCAGTAGTCAGATACAAGGCTTATTTCTGTAACAGTGGCAAGTGGTCAGTTTTTACAAGATTGATCCATGCAATCAGGGCTTGATGAATTTTACCAGTGATCAGTTATATCTAAAAGCTGGTCTTCTCAACTAGTGACTACAGAGCTATCCACAGAACCAAGTTCCAAAAGCAATGGAGTAAACTGACTATACAAGTCCACTTTCCACCCTTGCTGGAATTATGGAGTTATATTTTGGCTGGACGAACGAGTCTATGTGTAGTCCAATCATAATTGTGTAACAAAATCGACATCTGGTTTGATGCACTTCGAGAAGTAAGACCAGTTGTATCACAAAACAGATTTTGATCATCGATCAGATCGTCTTGACTGGGTGTCGCCATTTTGTTTAAAGAAAATGCAAGTGATATGAGAGTTGGAATCTGACTGGTCAACAGGAGGGACATAAGTCGTAATAGCCACTGGTGGCGCTATGATCGAGCCCATAAATTCCAGCCTAGTTCGGCAAGGGTGGAAACTGGACTTTTACAGTCACTTAACTCCCTTGCCTCATGAAGATGACACAGAACTAGCACAGAGGCGGATCCAGGATTTTGAAAAAATGACTGCTGTACATAATACCCAAGTAACAAAGTGACATGGCTGATGGGAAAGTCAACATGTAACTGAAAACATGAACACTGCACTCCACCTCTGGATCCTCCAGAGTAGCAAATGGTGAAATCCTATAAATCACAACAGAATAAAGCGTACACTGCTGACATTGTTGAACTAAATACCATGTGCATGGGTGAATTGTAATTCCACAAACAGTCATTAACATTGACTTCTAGTTGGTGCTTGTAGATCACCTTTTTGGGTGAGACATTGAAACATGTTGAAAGATGTGCACATGATCTTGAAGCTCCCACATTGTGACTATGTCAAAGCCCCCAAACAAAGACATATTACACATTAAAAATGGGTTATGGACTTAGTCTGGACAATAAGCTTGGAGGTATGGAATGAGTTCAAAGATTGATGTTTTGTGGATGTAAGTGTTAAACCCAAATTTGAAATTTTTGGCATGCTTGGTGCATGTAGACATAAATATGAGGTTGCATTTTTCAAAAATAGATTGCACTGGTGCATGTTTTGTATAATCAAGCCCTGATCATACAACTTGGAAGTACTCTAAATCAACTTATCATACAGACTCAAATCCTACTTGGAGAGAAGCTGGACATTTCTTAACCATTGCTACATGAATGTGTTTTCATTAAAATCATAAATATTGGTGTGAATATATCATCTTGTAAATTTAAAAGAACATATGAATTATAATAAGCAAATTTTGTCAAGTCTCCCAGAAAAGGATACTTTGTATTCAGTCCTAGTTTCATTTCACAATGTAAGGGACATAACTCTCATCAAGCCAAGCCATTTCAAATAAGGGAGATTGTCTTTAAGCTTTATGACACAGGAGTAACTGTTTCTTCTAACTCATAAAAGAATACTGAAATAATTAAAGAAATTTAATAGTACAATAATCATGATGATCGATACCCACCCTAACTTTGGGGTGGAGTTGGAAAGTGGTCAAAAGCGCCAGGTGCCAAGAACGTATCCCGCTCGTGACCAGGCAGTTATTCCATGGACCAGCAATGTTTTCAGGTGTTGTCACTACAACTACTGAACAGTACATTCACCCTGTGCACTCAAAGAATCCACTCATCCGTAGATGACTAGAGGATGGAAACACGAATACGTAAATACACCCGAAACTCAAAACTGTGGTGTCACTCTGGGCAAGTGACTTAGCTCAAATGCACCTCTGTTCACCTTACAGGAAATGCCTGATATGTGAGGTGGATGTGAAAACCTTCTGGTGCCTGTTGGCAGCATGGGTTGTATACTCCCCAGGTAGTTGAAAATGATAATTGAATGCATACAGATACATTAATTGGGGAACAAATAAACCATATCAGAGATATCTCGATAAGATGTCTTGATGTCTGTTTCATATAATAATTCATGGACAGTACAATATCAGAGTTAAAAGTATAATGACAAGTTGGTGCAGAATGATTCCTTCATGGTATACATACAAGACAATTTGTGCAGCATGCTTTTTTCCAACTTTATGACAGCGGACCGTAACTACTCAAATCTGGACCAGACAATCCAGTGATAGATATTATGAACATCACTTCCCGTTTGGGACATCCATCTATTTGCCACATATAACCAGCATAGGTTCTATGGACTACTTCCAACCCGGAACCTCCACAGGGAGCCTACTGTGTACATGGTAAACATACAGCCGGACCCACACAAGTACTCACCGGGTTGCTCTCCCGCCAGTTCTCAATCTGCTGATGCAGCTCTAACCGCTTCACGTCAGTGAGGCCAGGGGGTTTGAGGGAGATGGTGACATCTTCCCGCCTCTTGTCCAGCCGGTCCATCCACCTCCGCACCTACAGAGTGAGAAAGCAAGTAGGGGGAATCAAACAATAATCAACCAAACTAGGAGCATGATGTGCAATTTCTTGTTGTATCAGAAATACATAATTGTGAGAGATCTTAGCACTACAGCCTAATCATATTGACAGTTTCAAAAAGTTTCAAGATCGTTTCACTTACATAGGGACGAACATGCACGTGTGTGTGGCTGCTTGTACTAGTCCGGACTTATGCCTGTTTAACAGTGCTAGCCCACTGAGATACCATGCCGCAGTTTAACATGGATATGCCACTCAGACACAATACCGACCCCGAGCAAACCAATACATGTACTATCTTTTAACGTCTTTTGGTATGACACGACCTGGATTTCAAACCACCAACCTTCCACTCTCCTGGCTGAGGCTCTGTTCACTACACCAAGGAGGCAGTCACTGTACTGGAGCAGTACACTTGCACTTACTAGGGTCAAGTACCATGTACACTATGGAATACTGAAACCCTAAGTCAATGTTCTTTTTCCTTTTTGTTTGTTTAATGCTTAAAACATTCCAGCTGAAGAAGAGGCAGCTCGCAAAAAATAATGGATCAAACCAGTGACTGATATTGTCAGCAACAGTCTACGCCACCAGGGTATGATGACACACCATCGACTAAGTCACCAAGCCGAACCACCCTATCAATGAAGTCACCTTGTACATCAACCACAGGTTACTTGGGACTCGGACCCAGCAAACCAGTACAAAGCTGAGAGCTGGTCTTGAGAAGCAGGACCAAACAGGCACATTAAACAGGTCATCTTTTCAAGGCCAAAATGGGGTACAAAAATATTAACATGGGAGCATGCCAGAAAAGGCTAATCTGGTGGTAGGATTTATAACATGACAGTACCAGTGACACAAATATTGATTAGACAAATTTACAAATCATGTATCAATCACAAAAGAGTGACCAAGAGTAATTTGGACAGTACATACTGTTCTCTGTATCTTTATGACAGCCTTGACCTGTCGTGCGACCTCCTGACGACCTGGAAGTCGATTCCTCTCTTTGTGGCCCCTCCACATTGTTTGAATCTTGACAGCGGCATCAGATTGTTCTCTCTGCAGAAACCTGGGTATCTGCACTGAAGACACACAACAATAATCAAATAAGGGTGACTAGTGGAAGCATTGTTACTGTTGCAATAGTATTGTGATAGATACAATACTGTCATGATAAATTCCGGGGTAGAATAGGTCTTCAGCAACCCATGCTTGCCATAAAAGGTGACTATGCTTGTCGTAAAAGGTGACTAACGGGATCGGGTGGTCAGGCTCGCTGACTTGGTTGATGCATGTCATCGATCCCAATTGCGTGGATCGATGCTCATGATATTAATCACTGGATTGTCTGGTCCAGACTCGATTATTTACAGACCGCCATCATATAGCTGGATTATTGCTGAGTACGGTGTTAACCAACAAACCAACCAACTGTAATAATACCACAGAAACAGGAACTCAATAGTTTAAAGAATATGTTTACTATTCTATCATGAAAATTTTCTGGCTTTGTTTGATATGATGCAGGGCTCGATTTAAGGAACGTGATTTACCTGCACCAGGTGTATGTTGACATAAAAACCAAGTTGCACAAACAAAACCAGGTAGCACCCTGGTCCCATAATTTTATCAAAGTTAAAACAGGCCAGTCTGCTGCCAGTGTGACATAAATAAATGATGTATTGCTGTAAGACATAACATGTGCAGTATTAAGCCAGCGGACCAATGGCGACTCATAAAGTGTAAGAATATACAACCCCAGCAACCCATGCTTGTTATAAGAGGCAACTAATTATATCGGGTGGTCAGGTTCAGAGACATGTTTGATTGCATCTAGTAGTATCCCAATTGAATAAATCAATGTTCATGACATCAATCATTGGTCCAGACGTGACTTGACGGGGGTGAGTGAGTGATTATTGCGTAATGCCACATCAGCAATCTTGCAGCTATTTGCGGCGAGTACTGTGAATCGTAAAATCAATAATCTCCAAATAATGTGACCGTTGGCCCCTAGCCAAAAATGCGCCTCAATATGAATGCGACATCCCCCTCCTCTCAAGCATGAGTGGATTGCTGCTAAATAAACAGTGATGTGGAATACATAGTTGTTTGTTTTCAGTGTATGTCTAAGTTGGTATTTCTGCTATCCCAAATGTCTTATTGTTGATATAAATGCGATGTTTAATAACACGAGCAAAGACCAATTGCATTTTTCGCATTTAATTCATGCTTGCGTTAATTTCAAGATTTACAGCATATAACAGGAGTATGGCATTAAACAAACAAACACATAAGACAAATCGATGATATGTTACCTGCTGGCATTATTTCTATCAAGTGGAGGCGTCTCTCCTTGAACTCCCTCATGATCCGCTGTCTGTTAAGTTTCAGATGGTGGTAAAACTCGGCATCTATCTTCGTCTGTTCTCGGAACCGTTCTTCTTTCTCCTTCTTGAGTCTAGTGAAACAACCAAACATATCAAAACATCACAAGTCCGAGAGTGAATATTGTTCTACAGAGTAATTAGCTAACACAAGCACAGATACATATATTTAGAAAAGTGGGGGTCGATGAAAATACAAAAATTGCACATAATTCAGGCAACAATTTATGTGGTATCCCAATGTCTGCGACTTGTAAGGGGCAACACAACATGTGGCTGTCGAGCATGGAGATGAGCTGCAATTTCTAATCGTCTGACCCATGACTCGTACTTCAATAGCCTGATGAAAGTTTGCAGCAACTTCATTAACCGTCTGAGCTTGATTTTCGTAGAGCCTGGTTTCGGATCAGTTGATCCTGTACTCTTGTACTCCAATATCCATTTAGTCCGCTCTTACAACATGCATTAGGTACACGGGGGCTATTTTGCCTCCGAAAACACACAGGGAGATATGAAATTTAACTAACCTGTACGTTCTCTGAAACTTCTTGAAAGCCGCATTTGCCCTCCTAAGTTTGATTCTTGTAATGCATCCCTTCCAACATGCTTGCAGATAGATTGCTGCCAGATGGTATTTCTGGAAGGAGGGATGAAGAGTTACAAAGATGGATGGACTGCTGGTTTACAATCGCAGCAAACCCTGCAGGATCACTATTGTAAAGTGAGGCAGTAGACCTTTAACCACCATTAACAGTGCTTATTCAGATATATTCCAGCCAGACAGCCGTTTGTCAGTCCGTTTAAAAAGTTGTCAGTCAAGAATTCTCTTACACTGGACTGAACAATGAAGACAAACAACTACAGGTGAGAATAATGAAATCCATGCATTGTTGATCTATGCATGGAATAATTATTGCAAGTTTTGAGCTATATATTAAGATTGGGCCAAAATAAACTCACAACATAAGTCCATATTCTCTATTTTATTAAGTAAACCTTCCAAAAGTATTCAATCAGGCCATTCGACATGCATGTTGACTGTCCAAGACAGAAGCCGTCTCGGACTGTTGGGAAGCTAGGTATTCTAAACACTGCTCAGCCCCCTAAGTAGCGACCATTTTGGTCGCCAATGCAACTCAAATCTATGATTGGTGACCTAAATCTATCTACTGCTCGCCACTTGGCTACCTACAAGTTAACATAACTGGCAACAATATCTGTTTGAGATATGAATAGACAGTCATTGGAAATGTTGTTTACGAACTCATGTTTGTGAGGCAAATGTCGAATACATAATTAATAATAAGATTTCATATGACAGTCTTTATTTATTTAAGAATTGACTTTCACTTTGTGTGAGTTCACCGCCATAGAGTAAGAGCCAAACTGAATCAACGTCGGAGCTTGCGACCAAGGTTTTGGTTGAAAATGAGTGAGTGAGTGAGTGAGTGAGTGAGTGAGTGAGTGAGTGAGTGAGTGAGTTGGCTTTAACGCCGCTTTTAACATTATTCCAGTTATATCACGGCGTGTCAGCTTAATGTGGGAGAAAAGCCCAAACTGATGTGGGTCTCAGACGTTAACCACTTCGGTGAAACCCTAGAGCATGGGTATGTGCTGACAGACCAAGAAACATAATCGGGGCGAACCAGGATTCGAACCCACAATCATAGGTTTCTGGCATGCCCAAGGGACGCAACTCTGCACAGCGAATCACTGCGACTTAGATGACTGGGCCACCCGTGCCCCCTGCTTGAAAATGGAACATGCTATGAGGGTATACTTTTATATTCCTGAGAGTATAACCATGGTGACACTTCACAATATGTTTCATTTTCAGTTTTTGACACAAAATCAGTCAGGTCATACATTGTAGCCATCAGATCCTGCTTGTTTTTAGTTTGTTGTTTAACGCTGCACTCAGCAATATTCCAGCTATATGACGGCGGTCTGTAAATAATCAAGTCTGGACCAGACAATCCAGTGATTGACATCATGAACATTGATCCACGCAATTGGGATCGATGACATGCATCAACCAAGTCAGCGAGCCTGACCACTCGATCTCGTTAGTCGCCTTTTATGACAAGCACAGTCGCCTTTTATGGCAAGCATGGGTTGCTGAAGACCTATTCTAACCCGGATCTTCACGGGTCCGATCCTGCTTGTAGTGGGCTTGATGTATAGGAAAAAACATGCCTCCAAGGTTTTGGTTGAAAACACAAGAGATTTCCCAACTGCGGAGTGTTTACATTTTTAACCCAAACCAAGGGGTAGTGTTTTCTCTGGCTTATAAATCGCCAAAAGAGTTTAATTTGAAACAAAACTCCAATTTACATTTGGCACATTATAACAAGACAATTGTAAAGCCTGTTCATGTATACAACTGTTGGCGAAAGCAGTCGGTGCATGAGAAATTACTGAAAATGTAAAACCACAAACCAAAACCGAGGAGTGTTTTATCCAACTTATGAACCGTTTAAATGTGCAAGAAAAACTAGAAAAAGTATGAAAACCTTTTAGTGAGGTGAGGTGAAATTGGGTTTAACGTCGCGTCCAAGATTATTGCACTTATATATAGCGAAGTGCATGCATGGGTGTGTGTGTGTGTGTGTGTGTGTGTGGCTTGTACTAGTCCAGACTGATGCCGATTTATAGTGCTAGCTCACTGAGATACCATGTCATAGTTTAACATGAATACCCCACTCAGACACACTATACTGACTCCAAGCCGACCAGTCCTTGTTTTAACCCCTTAATGCCGAGCACCAGACAGGGTAACAACAAGTACCATCTTTTAACATCTTTTGGTATGACGCGGCCACGGATCGAACCCCGGAGCGTTCTGTGGACGCTCTACCACTAGTCCACGGAGGTGGTCACCTTTAAGTGAAAAAATACAGAATGTCACGGTATAAAGAGAATTTGATCAAAGCGAGCATGCAGGAGAAAGACCAGAGTAAGAGAAAAGTGACAGTAGGTTTATTAAAGCATGGGGTACTAAGGACCTGACTCAGGTCACACACCTCCATCTCTGCCTTTTTAGCACTTCCAGTGTCGAGGAGAACCAACAGCTGCTTCAGCTCTCTGGCAAACCCCTTGCCATGCCACTTCCCTAGTAATGGCCGTAGACCCCTGAAATGGGAGACATTACACTGACAAGACTGACCTCATATTGAAACTAAAACAATTAATTTGGAATGTTTTGTGAGATGTTCAACTACTGTTTAGTGAGTGAGTATGGTTTCACGCCTCTTTTAGCAATACACCAGCAATATCACAGCGGGGGACACCAGAAAAGGGCTTCCCTCACATTAAAAGCTGCCTATGTTATCTGCACGTTTCCGAGGCTGATGAGACTTACTTGTATCTTGTACACAGGACATCCACGATCAGTCTGAATGCATCACAGATCTTCAAGATACACTTGGTAGCTGCCCTGAAGAAACAACATCAGTTCACAACCAAGACATTCTAAACTGGGATATCACAAATGATGCATTCTCCATTCTGCTTCAGACACTCAAAATGACAGCGAACATGATTTATACATGGAGTTCATACCTGATCATTGAAATGGACTAGTATAACTAGAATGTATTTTTACTCAAATACATGTGTCTCTCCCATACTTTTTTTATACATTAGTTCAAGTTGTTACTGCAAATGTGTTTGCAAGTCTGAAAAACAATAATAGCAATTATAGCCGAGAAAGATAATGGTTTCACACAGAAATATTCATTAAAGCAGAGTTTTGGTGGGAAACAAACACTACTTATTTGAAATTTAGTCCGAATTGTTTCCATGGAAACACAACAAATTAAAAAAATTAAAAATATGAAAAGGCCATACTTGAGCATACATATGCTCATTGCACATGTATAGTTTCATGCAAATGTATTCATTAGTTTGAGAGTTAGGGCTCGGAAACAAAGCCTAGAGTTGTTTGAGGCGAAGTCCAAATAGTTTCCAAGGAAACATAACAAACTAAAATATAGACAAATTTCAAAATAGCAAAAGGCACCTGTGAAGCTGATGAGAAATGCATATCTCAAGTTTCATTAAAATATGTTGAACGGTTTTCAAGTTATGGCCCAGAAACGAACCCTACCCTTGCTTGAGACTAAGTCGAAATTGTTTCCAGGAAATCATAAAAAAATAACATTTTGAAAAAATTAAAAACAGCACAAGCCACCACTTAAGCTGATGAGCAATGCATATGTGTATTTAAAACATGAGAACAGTAATAAAAAAATCATGAAAAAATATGTTTTCACTTTTAAAGTCTACTGTATGCTAACTTTAATACCCAAATATCATTAGAAAAGCATTCACATCTCAATTATTGCTGGAGGATGAAGCATGTTTGGCATGTACAAGATTAATGGGGATTGCCACACTATTCTGACAGGCCAAGATGAGAGGGCAGGGATGGGGCATGTTAATTATGTCAGTTACGGAGACTCTTACTTACGCTCCAACAGCCACATTGTTGTTTACTGAGATCTTGTAAATCAGTTCATCCAAGATGCTGTAGACGATTTTCTGGTCAATTTGTGACAAAGCAACACTGAAATAATACAAAAATAAATAAGAGCTTGGTACATACTGGTACTGGTAATCCATAAGGCAACAAAGTGTTCATTTCTCTACACCAATGTTTAGGATGATCAGTACCACATCTGTAAAGGACAGCCTCTGTACAGGACACCACCTGTACAGGACACCCTCTGTACAGGACTCTGTAAAGGACACTATACAGGACATCTTCTGTAAAGGACACTATACAGGACACTATACAGGACACCCTCTGTACAGCACACCATGTGTACAGGACACCCTCTGTGTAGCATGTCATCTGTACAGGACACCCTCTGTACAGGACACCCTCTGTACAGTACACTATACATGACAACATGTGTACAGGACACCCTCTGTACAGGACACCCTCTGTGTAGGGCACCATCTATACAGGACACCCTCTCTACAGGACACTATACAGGACACCTTGTGTACATGACACCATGTGTACAGGAGACCCTCTGTACAGGACACTATACATGACACCATGTGTATAGGACACCCTCTGTACAGGACACCATGCGTATAGGACACCCTCTGTACAGGACATCCTCTGTACAGGACACCCTCTGTACAGGACACTATACATGACACCATGTGTACAGGACACCCTCTGTACAGGACACCCTCTATACAGGACACCCTCTGAACAGGGCACCCTCTGTGTAGGGCACCATCTATACAGGACACCATCTATACAGAACACCCTCTGTACAGGACACCCTCTGTACAGGACACCCTCTGTACAGGACACCCTATGAACAGGACACCCTCTGTACAGGACACCCTCTGTGTAGGGCACCATCTATACAGGACACCCTCTCTACAGGACACTATACAAGACACCTTTTGTACATGACACCATGTGTACAGGAGACCCTCTGTACAGGACACTATACATGACACCATGTGTATAGGACACTCTCTGTACAGGACACCATGCATATAGGACACTCTCTGTACAGGACATCCTCTGTACAGGACACCCTCTCTACAGGACACTATACATGACACCATGTGTACAGGACACCCTCTGTACAGGACACCCTCTATACAGGACACCCTCTGAACAGGGCACCCTCTGTGTAGGGCACCATCTCTACAAGACACCCTCTCTACAGGACACTATACAGGACACCTTGTGTACAGGACACCATATGTACAGGACACCCTCTGAACAGGGCACCCTCTGTGTAGGGCACCATCTATACAGGACACCCTCTGTACAGGACACCCTCTGTACAGGACACTATACATGACACCATGTGTACAGGACACCCTCTGTACAGGACACCCTCTATACAGGACACCCTCTGAACAGGGCACCCTCTGTGTAGGGCACCATCTATACAGGACACCATCTATACAGAACACCCTCTGTACAGGACACCCTCTGTACAGGACACCCTCTGTACAGCACACCCTATGAACAGGACACCCTCTGTACAGGACACCCTCTGTGTAGGGCACCATCTATACAGGACACCCTCTCTACAGGACACTATACAAGACACCTTTTGTACATGACACCATGTGTACAGGAGACCCTCTGTACAGGACACTATACATGACACCATGTGTATAGGACACCCTCTGTACAGGACACCATGCGTATAGGACACCCTCTGTACAGGACACCCTCTGTACATGACACCATGCGTACAGGACACCCTCTGTACAGGACACTCTCTATACAGGACACCCTCTGGACAGGACACCCTCTGTGTAGGGCACCATCTCTACAGGACACTCTCTCTACAGGACACTATACAGGACACCTTGTGTACATGACACTATGTGTACAGGAGACCCTCTGTACAGGACACTATACATGACACCATGTGTATAGGACACCCTCTGTACAGGACACCATGCGTATAGGACACTATACATGACACCATGTGTACAGGACACCCTCTGTACAGGACACCCTCTGTACAGGACACCCTCTAAACAGGACACCCTCTGTGTAGGGCACCCTCTGTGTAGGGCACCATCTCTACAGGACACCCTCTCTACAGGACACTATACAGGACACCTTTTGTACAGGACACCATATGTACAGAACACCCTCTGTGTAGGGCACCATCTATACAGGACACCCTCTGTGTAGGACACCATCTATACAGGTCACCCTCTGAACAAGGCACCCTCTGTGTAGGGCACCATCTATACAGGACACCATCTATACAGAACACCCTCTGAACAGGGCACCCTCTGTGTAGGAAACCCTCCATACAGGACACAATCAATACAGGACAACCTCTGAACAGAGCACCCTCTGTGTAGGACACCCTCCATACAGGACACCACCTATACAGGACACCCTCTGTACATTGGTTGCACAGAGGAAACACTCAACCATGTTGTCAGTCAAAGTGATGGAATCCCAACCTAAGGTGGCTATTATCTTGAACATTTTGCTAACAGTCAAGCAAGTGATTACTGTCAGCCATATTCCACCTAACACTGATTGAGTACAGGCCAGGCAAACCAGTGTTGGATAGCATGAGCAAGCAGCATCTGGGTATGATGATATACAACGAACCAGGTAACACATTATAACACCTGATAATCAGTTTTGTCATCTATTACAGGCACTGGTTACTTGGACATTGCAAGACCCACATGGTTGAATGTTTACCCTAGGAGGAACACCCCTTTATACAACTTTACAATTGTCTCTGGCAGGAGGAGTCAAGAGAAGAATGACAGTGTGCACAAAGGCAGAGCAATCAAATCTAACCCTTATGTGTTTTCATCTCACACAAAACCACCTTGCAACTGTGATACCTTCAAGAAAAGTCTGACAATTTTAACTCAATGATGGAGGCATGGTGTGAAGAAGTGTGTCCTTTAGGCATACCAGAAACCTTTTGATCCTGGGTTCAAATTCCAGTTCCCCCTGAGTATGTTTCTAGGTTTCTCAGCATCATACCTGTGCTTGAGGTTTTCACCAAAGTGGTAAATGTCTAACACCTGCATCACTTCCGGCTTTCCTCCCACATTAAACTCACACACTAGATATAACTGGAATACTGTTCAAACCGGTGTTGAACAAAACTCGCTAACAAACAAAACGATACTCTTCTAAAAAAACTTACCCATATGCCCTGATAACCTTGTCCATCATGGTGATAACTGCTACCACCGTATCCGGCTCATCTGTTATCAGCAGCTGGAGTAGCCACGGAGACTTCAAAACTGAGAAACAGTTCAAGGATTATGACCTCGTGAATCTTCTTATTATCATATTTAGTAATAATGATCATGCAAATACTGTTCAATGGATTAGTTCACATGCTGCATCATGGCACACTGTGTTAAGTAAATCTGAGCCCGGCTAACCAGTGACCACCTCCACCTGGTCTAGTAGTAGAGCGTCCGCCTTGAGAGCGGAAGGTCAGGGACACAGGTTTGATCCCCGGCCGCATCATACCAAAAGATGTTAAAAGATGGTACTTGTTGTTACCTAGCCTGGCGCTCAGCATTTAGAGGCTAAAACAATGACAGGTCGGCTCAAAGTCAGTATACTGTGGGGTGTTCATGTTAAACTGAGGCATGGTATCTCAGTAGGCTAGCACTATAAATCGGCATTACTCTGGACTAGTACAAGTAGCCACACACAGACGTGCATGCACGTCACTATAAAAGTGCAATAATTTTGGACACGAAGTTAAACCACATTTCACCTCACGAGACTAACTAGTGGTTGATATTATGAGCAACAACCAACACCAAGGCATTACAGTCAGCCAAGTCAGACCAAAACCAATCTAACTTAACTGCCACTTATGGTAAGCCATAGAATAGCTTAACCTACAATGCTCCTACTAACCTCCTATACATAATAAGTTCCCCAGGCAGTTAGACAATTGACTGAGGGGCTGCTTATTAAATTTGTCAGAGATCGAGCACTAGAGAACCAATGATGAAAACAAAACTTTGGGGATAATAGATACATATTAATTAGATACCTTTTCTGGTGTGTTTTCTGAAGAAAATATTGACTGTCATTATCAAGAATAGTACGGGATGGTTATAAAGATTACTTACAGATTCGTCTGGAAGGGGGCACTTATTGGCAAGGTGCGCTGAATAGAGCAAATACGGTATTATATACTGGGTCCTAAAGGCAATGTATGTTCATGAGTGTACTAGAATGCCTTCAATAACAACTTACTCTCAGCAACTAATGTGACATAGCCACTGGCGAGGTACACCACAGACTCCATGATGGCCTTAATGTAACCCGTGTACTCCATCTTCTTCCTCTCCGGCTGGTCCACCTTAAACACAGTTCACCAACATGTCAACAGCTACATGCTTAAACAAAATTGCAAATCATGTAGGTATTATTTTGAATATGTTTAATCATCTAGCCAAAATATAACTCCAAAATATAACACCTAGTTTGGCAAGGGTGAAAACTGGACTTTTATAGTCAGTTAACTCTTTCATAAGAAATAACAGAATTTCAAAACACAATTGTCTTATCATCGATGGCGCGAGAAAATGTATTTAACGAACTGATTTCTCCGATCCTTGTAGTTCATCATATCCACGTTCTACTATATGCATTGTTTGAAAAGTGTATTGCACTATTCCAGTCTACTATGCAGTTCTACTATTCTTTGTGATGACCTACATTATTTTACAGCATGCATATGAATGACTTACATCATCATCATCATCATCATCATCATCATCATCAAGGAAAAAAGCCTACATAACAATGCTGAACAGAGATATTGCTGGTAGTACAAGCATACTTCATCCTGTTTGAGTGCTGTAATCTGGGCCTGTATCCGCCGAGTCAGCAGGAAAATGTAATCAAGCGCTCGAGGCAGATGGTGCTCTTGAAACTGCCGCATCTCTTGACGAGGAAGGTTCAGACCAGAACTTGCCTGACTGCAAATACACACAATTCATGGTTTGGTTTGGTTTGGTTAGTTTTATCATGTGTATAATCCACTACTACTGACTATGGAATTGCCACAGTCATAATGTTGGGATATATACCACTCAAAGACGATAAAGAACAAATGCCATGACAGAATAACTATAGTAATATCAAATAATAAGGTTTCTTTAACTTCTTTTGAGCAGTATACATGATATATAGTGCATACCATATTTGCCATACTAAGGGGATTCCTTATTAAAAGGGGGCACGGGTGGCCCAATCGTCTAAGGCACTCGATTCGCTGTGCAGAGTTGCGTACCTTGGGCACGCCAGAAACATATGATTGTGGGTTCGAATACCGGTTCGCCCAGATTATGTGTCTAGGTTTGTCAGCACCATACCCATGCTCGTGGGTTTCACAGAAGCAGTAAACATCTGAAACCTGCATCACTTCGGGCTTTCCTCCCACATTAAGCTGACACGCCGTGATATAATTGGAATACTGTTAAAAGCGGTGTTAAACCCAACTCACTCACCTTATTTAAACTATACACAATGGATTAAATCTATTTTCAAATATTAAGCGGGAGCGAACAAACTTCGTTCAAATGTTGATGAAAGTAACAGTTTTTTGATAATGATTACAAGGCAATTACCTATATATATATATCACTTCTAAGCTTGTTTTCTGTAAAACAAATCTGCAATATACACAAGAAACTACAGACTGTTATGCAAATTTTCAATTTTAGTAGGGGGCTCTGATGAAGTGAACTTGCATATTGGTTTAGAAGTTGGTTAGTGAGGTGATTCTTGCCGAAGGGGGTTCAGAACGTAGAATACAGTAGAATAGTTTTTAACACTAGGGCAGAGTGTGAAAGCATCTCTGCCTAAGGTGCCATATAAAAACTGATTTAATCTAATGTGCTGTATTGGATTACCTGAGCAAGTCCACCAGCCTGACAGCTGTCCTCCACTCCCCTGGGATGATGCTGAAGTCCTGTCTGAGGACGAGGATGAGCACCTGCAGCAGGTTGTACTCCCATACTTCTCGCCGCAGTCGCACAAAGTCAACCTCACCTGCTTCAGCAGTGTCCAAAATATCTGAAACAGCAGTTCATTAGAGTCCACAACAATTCAGGCAAAAGTCTTTCTATTTTGAAAAACTGTAATTTGAAGCAATAGCTTCAGTTTTCTGTATTTATCATACTAAATCTATCAGGCAATGCAAATGCAGTATGTCTTTTAAACTGTCATGAGTTACAAATCAAAACAGCAAAAGGTCAAAACATTTGGCCAAATTACTCCAGCTGTATGTACCAGTTGTACAGTAAATTGAGAAAGACATTGATATAACAAACACTGAGACATGCAAATTGGTTGGTTTACATATTTGTTAATTTTAACTTGTTACTCACGTGTCCCACATGTTACTGTTGTTCACATAAGTGACAAGTTCATATTTCATAAATGAAATTGTTGTGGTTTGCTACTGTAAGTAAATATTGATTGTCAGGATGGTTAAGAGCTGAAAATAAGTTTGTTGCATCTCAGTATCTGTTGACCGGTTATATAAGATAGCTACACAATAAATCCCAAAGAACAATGAAGAACGAAGCGTGGTTTACTTCATGATAAAACATTGTTCTATCCTGACGTCATTTCTGGAGATTTGAATATGTGCTTGCAACTTGATGACGTCATATATTGGATGACATTATTTTTGAGAGGGAAGTGTCTAGTAAGTTGTTCCACATAGATGTAGCTGGGCTACGTAGACAATCAGTGGCCGAACTATAACAGAGAGATATGACAATCGGTATTGGGAGAAAAGGTACAGATAATCGACGTGAGGATTTGCAGGAAATACCAAACTTGACCGTCCTGTTTGTAAAATGCACTTGTCCGACATTTCCGAGGTTGGATTGCATTCAGAGAGTCATCATCATCATTAAAATTTGGGTAAATACTTTTAAAGCTTGTACATTTCATCAACATCCTTAAGAGGCTGTACATAATGTTGATGTCTCATAAGAAATAAACGACTTGTGGTTGTTGTTTATCACACAATAAAACACTGCAGGGAGAATAAACCACTCGATAAACAACTCCCACTTGTCACTCCTTATTACTTATTATTATTTCTTATGTACAATATTCTCACACGGATTCTTTTTGATGATAAATTGTGTCTGTTGGCAACTTTAAAACAGTAAATATCATTCTGGGAGTATTTCCATTTAACACAGACGAAAGTGGTTGGTAAGCAAAACGAGTAGTGGTACTTAAGTGTAGGCAATTCATGTGTGTGCATTTGGACTTCTATGGAAAAAAAGAGGTTTGGACAAGCTGTAAGTGCTTTTTGGTTCTCATATGGGTTAGACTGGAGTATACCGGACACCTTTAGCAGCTCTGGTAATGGATTTGCAGGAGATCCTTCCCTAGTAGTGATTTCTAAGTTGTTCAGATGCCATTTTTAGCAATCTTGCTAAATTAACAGGGGTCTGGAGGGCTTGTCCCCCACTCAAGTCCATTATGGAACATCTATTTTTCTGCTTATTGTGAGCTTTATACCCCAATATTTCAAATAGTATCAAACACATATGGCCAAATGATATCCAGTATCATGCAAGTGTACCCTCATAAGTGAGGCTTCAGAGTTAAATAGGGGATGTGGGGGTAAAATTATGTGGTTGTTTTTCTTACACTGATAACTTTAAATGATAAACAAATCCAATGCCAAAGAGCTAAAATGCTTTTAGACCATGCCATTATAGATAGCAATCTACTGATCTGCATCCTTATAATACAGCCACATATATGAAGGCATTAAGATCAATCATGGGCAGAGTTTAAAGTGGTTATTTCTGGAACAAAAACTGTAGTTGTAAAGGATGTTCACTCTGAAATGTGAATAAACCTTTTAGCTTCAACAACGTCAGAGGCAGTTTTCTCTCGCGTGTATCTGCAACAAGGTTAGCGAGGTTGATAACTCGTTGGTCTTTTTCTTTATTCGCCATTGTCAGCTTTGATCCATTAATCCCATTAATGTTATTCAACAAGGGTCATCTTTTGGGTACAAGTGTGTTTTCTTTCAAGCGAACCGCGACACAGTTACAAGTTTGATCATGTCAACATAATAGAGTTACTTGCCCTTGTTAGTCGTTTCGGCAAGCTCTTCACAGCGATGGCTAGTCGTCCTCTATCAGAATAACGAAAATAGCACGCACTGTAATGGAGCTTGTCGTGGTTTATTCCTTTGAGTTTCGTGGTTCTTCAAGCTACTAAAAATACACTGTGATCGGGGAAATGGATTGGATTCAAGATATGTGTCATTTATATGCTTCTGTAACACAATGATCTAACCAAAGTACCTTTGATTTCTTTTCGTCTCAAATCACGAAGAAAGCTTTTTGTAGCACCCTCGACGGTTTCAGTCTAAAACAGCCATGTTCCAAAATTGCAATACGACATTCGAATGGCAAAAACTCCGTTTTTACTTTCTAACGCATCGTTAGAAATTGGCGCTAGATTTTATGGTCTTTGTTGGCACTTGTCCTATAGTTCTTGCAAAACGGCCCAATAGTCAAGGTATAATAGGGACTGGTAGAAATTCGCGGAACTCTTAAAAAGGGGTGGATTTCTACCAGTCCTTATTATACCTTTGCAAGAACTATGCGGGTGTGAAAAGTGAGGGATCATATATGGTCCCGAGGCACCAAGAGGGTTAAGGACTAGTGGACTAAAACTTTTAGTTTCTATCGCTGATTTTTACGGCTGTATGAACTATCCCCTGGCAAGAAATACATTAGCACAGCTAGTCTTTCAGGTTTTATACAACGTTTATCTAATGCAAATTTCTTAACATTGAGTATCCGAGCTATTCTAGTTCGAACAAGGGCGATGAGGTAGCCTAGTGGTTAAAGCGTTCGCTCGTCACGCCGAAGACCCGGGTTTGATTCCCCACATGAGTACAATGGCTAAAGCCTATTTCTGGTGCCCGCCCTCCCTTCATTACAATGTCATAATACAACGCTAGCTAAATACTATATAAAACAACAATGCTTAAAATACACAGTAACCTAAGCTTCCAGATTAATAAAGTAATAATTGAATGAACTTACCCTATATGATACAGTGAAGAGAACGTGCTGAGAAATATGTGCTGACTGACCAGTAGAAGTTGTGATCAGGGTATCCACATGATTGCAGAGAACATGCAAAAAGCTAGATAACAAAGAGCACCTAATCACAGGTCAAGCCTGTGACCGACCCAGTGACAATAGCCATGAACCTATTAACGAAATGGTTGAACCTCCCAAGCTATATACAGAACTAGCTTACCTGTGAATTAGAAGATTTGTGCAAGTGCTGAAGTTAACGCAAGTATTTAAGAAAATAAATGTTAAATATTTAGGTTAGCTTATTAATTTAATTCATGTTTGGTTATTAAAATGATACTTTAAAATCTAACAATATTCTATTTACAAGCATACTGCTATACTGAGACAGTACATTCCGTAATATATTTTTTTTAATTGCGTATATATGTGAAGGTCAAAAGTCGTATCTAGATCAATAATGAGATAAAGTCACTTGACTTACAGTCAGTTGAGCTAAAAGTTTCATTTATACCAGAGAACCAAATGTTTCCATAAACGCTGATGTCGCACAAAAGGGGCAAGGGTGTGCATAATAGAGTAGTCATTTTATTTAACTGGATTCATTGTTTTTGGTGTGTCTTTTAATTGGTTGGTTTGTTGTTTAATGCCGCACTCAGCAATGTTCCAGCTATATGACGACGGTCTGTAAATAATAAAGTCTGGACCAGACAATCCAGTGATTAATATCATGAGGATCGATCCACGCAATTGGGATCGATGATATGCATCAAACCGGCAGCGAGCCTGACCACCCGATCCCGTTAGTCGCCTCTTACGACAAGCAGAGTCGCCTTTTACGGCAAGCATGGGTTGCTGAAGACCTATTCTACCCGGGATCTTCCCGGGTCTGTATTTTAATTACTCAGAACATGAGTGAGTATGGTTTTACGCCACTTTTAGCCATATCACGACGGGGGACACCAGAAATGGGCTTTACACATGTGGGGAATCGAATCTGGGCCTTCGGCGTGACGAGCAAACGCTGTAACCACCAGGCTATCCCACCGCTCCTATTTTGATGTAAATGCTGACAAAGAATATTTTCATTAATTAGAATACACCTTACATGTATTACTGTCCAGCAATATATGCTCTTATGTTTGCTGATGACGGGTCATCTATTGCTGATACACCTTTAAATTTACAAAAGAAGATCAATGCCTTGGAACACTTTTGCAATACCACAGGCATGAAGGTAAACTAAGGAAAACTAAAATATGGTATTCGGAAATGGCGGAACCCTTAGACATTATGAAAAATAGAAATTTAGTAGTGTATATATATCGTTTTATAGATATTTGGGTATTGTGTTCAAGCTCAAACTTGTTTGGACTAAGGCGCGAAATACTCTTGCTGCACCGAATAACAAGGCCATTATGACATTATATAGATATCAAAAGAAAGTTGGTAATATACCCTGTCAAGATTTATTTAAGATATTGGAAGCACTGATTGTGCCTATTGTCTGTTACGGTGCAGAAGTATGGGGCATCTCATTGTGTAAAATTATTGAAGATGTACAGAACAAAATGCGTAAATGGTTTCTAAATACAGGTAAAACAACAAACAATGGTATGGTTTTAGGAGAGTGCGGCATAGCCCCTCTCCAACTTGTGTATACCACAAAGGCCATCAAGTATTGGTGCAGACTGCCTCGCCAATGCTATTTAAAGCTCAAATCACTGGACCATTTTAGTCGCACCACATGGGCTACTCACATTAAGAACATTTTGTTAAAATTAGGATTTCGATATGTATGGTTCACACAAGATGTTGGCAATGTGAAGATATTTATTCATCTTTTTAAACAAAGATTTTTTGTTAACCTTCAACAATCATGGTGTAGTTCCATCAGTACTTTATCTGATACCCTTTATTATAACCATTTTAAATCATTTAACAATGTAGAAAAATATTTTACACTCCCCATACCAGTACATCTGAGAATATGTATGACTCGTTCCAGATGTAGCAGGTTTACACTTGCATTTGATTTGGGGAGATACACAAATGTTCCATACACTGAACGATTATGTAAATATTGTATAGAAAATGGTAGATCTTTTATTGAAGGTGGATTTCATGTTTGGCTTGTATGTGAGCGTTATTCAGCCCTAAGAAGTAAGTATCTTCAACAGTATATCAAGTATCAAACTGTAACATCTTTAACTGACATTATTTCATCAGAAAACTTTGATGTTTTATATAACACATGTTTATATCTACATAAAGTCCAACGGCTAAGAAAAACTAAATCGATTACTTCATTGGCATGCGTAGTTCATGCAGCCAAACATTGTCTGTATTATGGGCCTATGGCCTTTCTATTGAATAAACTGTCTGTCTGTATGTATGTATTAATGTATCTTGATCTAAATTATATTATCAAAAAATCAATAAAAATATAAAAAATTGGGTGGTCTTTACGAATTATTGCCAAATAATATAATTGCCGCGTATTGCAATATATTCTTTCTTTTGGAGTAAAAAACTGAAGACTGGAGTATCCTGTCAATTTAATAACGAACTTCTGGACAACATATAACTTTGGAGTCCACATACCATCTATAGTCTCCCTGACCTATGTGTCAATTCTTCCATCAGCGAGTCCTGCAGTGCACTTGTGTCCTGTTCCTTGCAGCCAGATTCCGGTTAGTGCCGTTTTGACGCTGTACCAATATCGCTTTTCGCGGCTTTCAAAGGGAGATAATAAAACACGCCGAAAGAAGTTGGATGTGCACCGGCTCGATATTTTCATCATTTTGCGAGGTAATGCATGGATGACAAGTTGACTCGTCTTCAGCTTCGAAGTGCTTTTGTAAAACAACTGTTGTACATTAGATTTATATCGAGACCAACTCAATAAATGGTGCTTTCTAAGACAGAAGAAAGATAACTGTCGGCCATATTTGTTTGCTCGTGCTGCTCATAAAGCGGCGCGCGACAGCGTTGCTATTTGAAGAAAAGGGGGATAAATAACCAAAATACAGACACAATGACACCGAATGCATTTGTATGGTTTTACAAGACTATGCCTTCCAAATGAATATCAAAGAAGTTTATCAGGCTAACAGAAACAGCTGATAAAGGTAGGAGCTCTCGCACATGCAAATCCTTACCACAATGGCGGAAGTAATCTGGTTTTCTCATCTTCCCGAGGCAAGAGATTGTGTTTGTTTGTTGTTTAACGCCGTACTCAGCAATATTACAGCTATATGACGGCGGTCTGTAAATAATCGAGTCCGGTCCAGACAATCCAGTGATTGACATCATGAGCATCGATCGACAAAATTGGGATCGATGACATGCATCAACCAAGTCAGCGAGCCTGACCTCCTGATCCCGTATGTTGCCTCCTATGACAAGGATAGTCGCCTTTTACAGCAAGCATAGGTTGCTGAAGAGCTATTCCACCCCGGATCTTCACGGGTCTCTATACCAAAAGAAGAGATGCAGTGCAAAGTTGGATTTTAATTTTTGGATTTTCTGAAATATTACCATGATAACAGCTTTTCTTTTTTCTTTTTTTCACTTAGATTTTTTTCACTTAAACATTTGTAGGAGCTGTAACTTGAAATCTACTGCCTGGATTCTTTTCTCATGTAGGAAACTGTTTCATACTAATAGAAGAGGTGCAGTGCAAAGTTTGATTTTCATATGTGGACTTTCTGAAAAAATATGTTTTTCATGCTTTGAACCGAGAAATTTGTTGAGAGTCGAGGTCGGGGGTATCAGTGAGCCTTGCTCACTTATGTCTTGTTTTATATTGCAAAACCCAAATCACCACCCCACCCCTAAATGTCAATGGGCAGCCCCTTATAATAAGTGATCTTCTGTTCTTTCAGGTTCTGGCAAGCTCCAAGATCAGACATGTTTTCTAGGTTTGGGAGCGGGGAGCCGGTCAAGAAGAGCACCAATTTATGGGATGATGGTGATGACACACCATCACAGTTCTCCAGAACAGGCATGTATTCTAGGTCGAAGTTTCAGTATGGCAGCAGCGGGAGAGGGCAGTTAGACAAGACGAGCCAACAGACAGGAGGCAATCTGTGGGATGATGCTGATGAGAATCCACCACAGTTCTCACGTGGCAGCAAGACAGTGTCTGACAGGACAGACAGATACAGAGGATATTCTAAGTTTAGTTTCCAGGAGTCTCAAACTGCCCCTACTTCAGACACTTGGGGTGGTTTGGGGTCTTCCTTCAGAAATGAGTCATTGGACAAAGGTCCAGGTAAAGATTACTTCGGTGCCCAAAGCAGAAATCTAGACATGGAAACTGAGAGCCGTGGAAGAGGCAGAGGTTGGACCACTGGCCAAAAGATGGAGACAGACAGATTGCCCCATGCAGGCATTGACACCGGCAGCAACAGATTTGGCATGGAATCGAGAGGTTTGGAGACAGGTAGAAGATTCCTCGGAAGTAGTAACACATCATATCCAATGGAAACCGAAAGTATGAGATTTGATGAAGGTGGCAAAAACTGGACAAATTTTGCAAATCCTACAAATTTAAGGAAGGAGCCAGAAAGTGACATATTCAGTGACAGACACAGAGGCTCATCCTCACAACCCAGAAATGAAACCAGAAACCAATGGTCCCATGAAAGTCCTCGAAGTCATTCTGCAGGTGCCCGTTGGGAAAGAGAAAGCTACAGATTCAGTGAAACACCTAGAGGTCCATCTGCTGGACAAGAAATAGCCCGGAGAAGGGACAACTCTGTGCTGGATACAGGGGTAATGCAGGAGTTGAAAATGAGAATGGCCGCCGAGAGGCAGCAAAGCAGAGTCAATCCTGTCGACATGAACAAGGTCATGAAAGTTATGAACATTGTGGACCAGCTTTCTGATGAGCCCAGGCAAAATGTTTCTCCGAGGAGAAATCCAAGGACAAGAGATTTTTATGGAAAAGTAGAAACTGCACACCCTCGCGAATCAAGAGGCTTGAAAAGAGATGGCAGCATGCATGGCACCAAAGACAGAGAGGATAGAAGCTTAAAGAGAGGGAGGAGGGAAGACTTTGGAGACCGAGAAAGACCCAGAAGCTTTCAACGGTCTGAAACATTTAGAGACCAACAGAAGTCCAGTATTCACACAAAAGAAAAACCAGTTTCACTACTGGACTTGAAGTTTGATTTTCCAAAACAGGGTAAGTTACTTCTAACAAGTGGTACAACTGGTTATCCTTGACCCAACACCCTTCCAAGTACGATAAGTCAGTGCTGTTCATACCAGAGTTCAAAATTAAGCATGAAAGTCAGTGGGTCTTGGTCATGACCCTAATGTTGAAAGTTTAGGGGTTTGGGGGTTCCCTTGAGTCAAATAGCACAGAGGACCTCCAGGACACCAGGGCCCCCTCTTATTTTGAACACTGCAAACTAAGCTACCACCTGATTCCCATTATGCTTGAGTATGGTGTCATTTTATTACCATGTTAGTTTCAATTATGACACAGAGAGTCTTACCTGTTCAGGTATTTATCTGGACCTCCTCAGAGGCCGATATTCAGCATCGTATGTGAAGCAAATGACACTGAAAAGTCCCTGTTGGAATTTTTAAATTCCCAGTTCCCCAGAATTTATGCAAATAAGAATGTTAAGAATAACAAATTTTGAACAATATCACGATTTGCCTGCGAAAAGTAGTTAAATAGTTTTGAATCTTCATTTTCCTGAGGCAAGGGAATTCACTGACCAGTTTCCACCTTTGCCAAACTACGCTGGAATTCAGGAGTTATATTTTTGCTAGATTAATGAGTCCATGCATAGTCCAATCAAATTCGCATAACAAAATTAGAAATGAGGTTCATTAACATGGATTTCAACATGCAGATTTCAATTGACTGCATGATTTGCAAAGCATGTGTACCGTCACCTGGGCCGTTACCGTCTACAACATAGATTTTGATTATCAATCAGATCGTCTCGACTGGGTGCCCCACCATTTTGTTTGAAGCAAATGATTTGAGAAGTGGAATTTGATTGGTCAAAAGGAGGGACAGAAGGGGCATAACTTGTAATAGCCACTGGTGGAGCTATGAGGGAGAAATGAAATTTCAGCCTAGTTCGACAAGGGTGAAAACTGGAATCCTTACCTTGGGAGATGGGAATCCTAAACAAATCTCGTCAGCTGAATATTGCCGAGTGTGGCGTTAAACAACAAACAAACACAAGAGCCTACTGTATGTTAGAGTATTTTTAAGGTAAAGTTAACTTTTGTAATCTCTCTCCATAATTTTCATTTTTCCAAAAGCTACAAGGCGCGAACAAACTCTTCACATCATTTTCAGTAGATTTTAGTGTTAATTAATATATGTGGACTCACATTAGCTGAGCTTACTTGACTGAACAGCAGAAAGAGTGTTGGGCACCATTGAGTTGAAACCCATGGTCCTGTGTTTGAATCCCGGTTCTCCATGATTATGTTTCTAGATTTAAAGTGGTAAGTGTCTAACACATGCCTCACTTCCTGCTTTCATCCCTCATCAATTTGAAACACTGGAGTTCTGTTCCAAGCAGCATTAAACCCAAACTCACTCACTCGCTGACTTGGTTGATGCATGTCATCGATCCCAATTGCATAGATCGATGCTCGTGTCAATCACTGGATTGTCTGGTCCAGACTCAATTATTTACAGCCCGCTGTCATATAGCTGAAATATTGCTGAGTGCTGCGTTAAACAAACACTCACTCACTCACTCATGAAGATTCGGGGTGGAATAGCTCTTCAGCAACCTATGCTTGCCGTAAAAGGCGACTATGCATGTTGTAAGAGGCAACATACAGGATCAGGAGGTCAGGCTCGCTGACTTGGTTGATGCATGTCATCGATCCCCATGATGTCAATCACTTGATTGTCTGGTCCGACTTGATTATTTTACAGCCCGCCGTCATATAGCTGGAATATTGCCATGATTACTGAGTGCGGCGTTACACAACAAACAAACACACCCCAACACAGCATAACACAACACACTGTTAAAACCCTTTCACCTTGTGTCCACCTTACCTTTGAATGAACACTGATGCTTGCATTACAGGTGTGCAGGAAACAATGGGTTTGAAGCTGAGAAGACTGGTTGCCAATATCAAGAGCTTCAAGGCTTCCGGCGACCACGTAAATGACATTCACACCCTCGACATTTCTCTGGCTAAGTGTAAAATAAGGTCTGATTACAAGCAGGAAGTGCTGGGGAAAGTTGGAAAAAAACTCACATTTACTGGATGTTTGATGGTTAATGGTATCTTCCTTGCCAGGTGTCTGGGTACAGGTAAGAAGGAGGTGAAACATGCATGCTACGAGGAAGCTATTAATGTCCTGATGACTAAACCTGTGGAAGAAATTATGGAAATGAAGGATGAAGGTAGTGATAACATGATGAAGAAATTGCTTGCTGTTGAAGAGAAGAAAAAGTCTACGAAAGAAGTGGTTCCTGGAGCACCAAATCTTCAGCTGTGTGAAAAATTGGAAAAGTTGATCAAATATCTTAATGGTTTCAAGAAGAGAGCTGATACACCAATAATTGAGTTGAACAATGCTAATGTAGCTGCAAGCAATGTCTTTCATCGGGAATACAGGGAAGACTCAATGGAGCTTGTCAAGAGTACCTCTCTTGGTAAAGGACATCTTACACTTGACGGGCATCTGATTGCTACTGCTGTTGGGAAGGTATCCAAACGAGTGAAGTACAGGACATATGCAAAAGGAATCGATTTGCTCAAGAACAGTCCTATGTCTGTTGTTCTGGAGGGAGTTCTTGCAGACGACAACTACTCCAACCTCTCTGCCCATGATGTTCTGTCCCCCAGGCATGTGGGTCTTCCAGACGAGGAGACACAACAGAAACTGGGCAAACTGATTGGTCAGGTGAAGAGGATGGCCAACTCCAATCAGGCTGCAAACAACATACTCCAGATTGCTTCAAAAAATGCCAATCTCCTCTTGACTTGTCTTTCAAAGAGAGGAGCAAAAGGTGGCGAGTTATTTACCGAATGTGATCTTTATGTCGACTGCATCTATATCTGCACGGGGGAAGGCTACAAATATACGGATGCAGTGAAGCAGACCTACGAGGAAGCAATAAGGGTGCTTTCCAACAGTTCTCCAGACGTCATCTTCAACGACTTCAAGCGCATAACAACTCAAGATGTGCACAATGTCACAGAAGTTTGTGAGGTGTGGGAAGGGAAGAAGATGAAGACATTCTTCTGGTCAAACTATCACAAGATCCAAACATTCAAGAAAAGAATACTCTTCAAGCAAAATCCTGACTACACAGAATTTCCAAGGGATTGGGAACGAATGATTATCATGGAACAAGAAAAGTTTTCGTCAGATCGGGTGAACAAGGCCTACGAAATACTTCTTAACTCTGCAACCAGAAACTTTGTGACTCTGCATGGGAAGGGCTCAACGGAAGGAAATGTTCTCAAGTAAGTATTTGTTTGTTGTTTAACGCTGCACTCAACAATATTCCAGCTTTATGATGGCGGTCTGTAAATAATCTGGACCAGACAGTAAATAGTCTGGACCAGACAATCCAGTGATTGAAATCATGAGCATCGATCCTAACAATTGGGATACGATGACATACATCAACCAAGTCAGCGAGCCTGACCACCCGATCCCGTTAGTCGCCCCTTATGGCAAGCATGGGTTGCTTAGACCTATTCTAACCAGGATCTTCGCAGGTCCTGAAGTAAGTAGGTTTGTGTTGAGTAACCAATGTAATACAGCAGAACCCTGTTAATCCAGACTCCACTAATCCTGAAACTGAACCTCACAGATTATCGTGTTTAGGATATATAAATTTATACTACTCAAAAGAAGCTAAAGAATGCCCAATTCTTTCATATTACTATGGTTAATCTATGAAAGAATTGGGTGTTCCTTCACTCTCTTTTTTATCCCCCCGACATATAATGACGGGGGGATAAAACCATCAGTATGTCCGTCTGTCTGTCCGTCTGTAATCATTGTTTGTCCAGAGCATATTTCCTAAACAGTACAACCTAGCTTCACAAAACTTGGTACACTTTATAATCAGGCTCAGTGGTAGTGCCTTTTGCTATTTAGAGATTTTTAGAATTTTATATTTTTGTCGTTTCCATGGAAATATTTTGAACTTAGGAAATTTGAGGGTAGTGCTCTTGTCCGGAGCATATTTCCTAAACCGTACAACCTAGCTTCCCAGAACTTGGTACACTTAACAGTCAGGCTCAGTAGAAGTGCCTTTTGCTATTTGGAGATTTTTAGAATTTTATATTTTTGTAGTTTCGTTGGAAATATGATGAACTTAGGAAATTTTTGGGTAGTGCTCTTGTCCGGACCATATCTCCCGAACCATACAACTTAGCTTCTCAAAAGTTTTTATGGTTGGACCAGTCATCTAAGGCATGGCAATTTGCTGTCAACAGAATTGTTCACGTCTGAAACCTGTGATTGCGGGTTCAAATCCATGTTTTCCCCGATTATGTTTCTAGGTTGGAGAAGGGGGTAGGAGGAGCCTGTGATTTGTCACTTTTTCCAAACACACAGTTGCCTTTTTCTTTGAAAGTATTATTCTGAAAAATATAAAAAAAGACATTTTTTCCATTTTATTCTGGAAAAAATTATTGTTTCCAAAACTGACCAATCAAAGCGTCGCTTACCAGATCACGAAAGTGAAAGTCAGAATGTGATTTCTGATCATGCAATCTCGAAAACGTAAACATAATGGGATGTCCTCAGATCTTTGTTTAGCGGCAGCAAGAACTTAGATCTGATTTAAATGAGATTGCTTGGCACAAGGCTTAACTTTGTGTGAATGTCATGATCATAAGAAGATCTAAGTTCATGGCATCACTATTTGCACTCAACACAGTTCTTTAACTTTGTTGTAAAAACACTTGTTTTTCCTTCTTCCCAGAATGCTTTTGCGCCAGTCTTTCTTTAGCTCACCAAAATAAGATTGAAGTGTCATTAAATCATTACTTCATAAGTCAGTTGAGCTACAGCACATGGACATGGACTCTGGACCAAGCTTATTATTTTTTTCATTTTACACAGGCAAGACAAATATTATGAAGATGAACATGATGAAACAGCATTTGGACAAAGACCTATTTAGATAGACCCATCAGATAAACAAGCCCGTGAAGATCAGGGTTAACCATGATTGTTGTAAGAGGCGATGCTTGTCGTAGATTGATGCTTATGTCAATCACTGGTTTGTCGAGATTCGGTTTTCAGACTGCTGGCACATTGCTTAACTATTGCTGAGTGTGGTGTAAAACAACGAACATCAGGTCATCAGATCAGATATTTTAATTTACCAATGTTTAACTTTTATGTTGTGGACTCTTCTTTTTACCTCTGTCGCTTTCTATCTGCTGAAATGTTGTTTAGGTGTGAACTGTTCCTACAAGGTGAGAAGCTGGCAGAGGCCAATGGCAAGAACAATGTTGAAGCTTCTGCAAAGGCAGCCGCTAAAATCCTCTTCAAATTCTACGAGCAACAACCTACCATTAAGGTAAACAGAGTTTACAGATACTTGTATACACGTTGCTTTTCACCCTCATGAAATAACATAAGATAGCTATGCCATAAATTGCAAAGAACAGTGAAAACCGTAGCGTGGTTTATTTCGCGATAAAACATTGTTCTATCATGACGTCATTCCTGGAGATTCAAACATGTACTCGCAAGTTGATGATGTCTTAAATTGGAAGACATTATTTTTGAGAGGGAAGTGTCTCGTGAGTTGTTCCCCATAGATGTGGCTGGACAGTGCAGATGAATGTAATGACCGAACAATCACACCCAAAAGTGGGAGAGATAATGACAATCAGATTTGGGAGAAAGGGTACAGATAATCGATGTGAAGCTTGTAAGAATGTAAGGGAAAGACCAAATTTACCCCCCCCCCTGTTCATTAATTGGACTTGTCCAACATTTCCACGGTCAGATTCTGTTCAGGGAGTCATCGACCGCCTCCGTGGTCTAATGGTAGAGCATCCGCCCGGAGAGCGGAAGGTCCGGGGTTCGATTCCCGGCCGCGTCATACCAAAAGACGTTAAAAGATGCTACTTGTTGTTACCCTGTCTGGCGCTAGGTATTAAGGGGCTCAAACAAGGACTGGTCGGCTCTGAGTCAGTATACAGTGTCTGAGTGGGGTATTCATGTTAAACTGTGGCATGGTATCTCAGTGAGCTAGCACTATTAATCGGCATCAGTCCGGTCTAGTATAAGCAGCCACACACACACCCGTGCATGCACGTCGCTATATAAGTGCAATAATCTTGGACGCGACGTTAAACCCCATTTCACCTCACCTCAGGGAGTCATCATTATTTAAATACGGGTTAATATGTTTAAAGCGTGTACTTTTTATTGACCTCCTTAAAGAGGCTGTACTAATGTTGATACCATGTAAGAAATAAAAGATGAGTGGGAGTTGTTTATCGTACAATAAAACACTGCAGGGAGAATAAACCATGAGGGGCGCAGTATCCTCCCTGCAGTATTTTACTGTACGATAAACAACTCCAACTCATTTATTTCTTAATTAAGGAAATCAATGTGTTTCCTGTTCCATATCCTACATCTTTTTCCTCACTTGTCGACCCGTGAAGATTCCGGGGTAGAATAGGTCTTCAGCAACCCATGCTTGCTGTAAAAGGTGACTATGCTTGTCGTAAAAGGCGACTAACGGGATCGGGTGGTCAGGCTCGCTGACTTGGTTGATGCATGTCATCGATCCCAATTGCGTGGATCGATACTCATGACATTAATCACTGGATTGTCTGGTCCAGACTCGATTATTTACAGACCGCCGTCAAATAGCTGTAATATTGCTGAGTGCTGCGTTAAACAACAAACCAACCAACCAAAAATCCTCACTTGTCATGTGTTGCATGATAGCTTTTATCACCATCCTGCATGTTATGCCGACAGTGTATGTTGTTGGGCTTCACTGTCGATTAAAGAACTTACCTACCTTCCAATAATGGCCTAAAATAGAAAACATTTATTCGGGAAAGGGGAAACTTAAACTTGTTGACATTTGATTTCGTTCATTGAGATCTCCTTGTAATATTTTTCTGAGAGGAAAATCAAGGCGAAAATTGAAAAATATATTTGTTGATTTTGTTTCCCACTGTATTTTTTTTTTTTAACTAATTACTTGAAATGTCTTTATATTGCTTTTTGATATGATTGATACAGACCCATTGTCGAAGCATTGAAATTGTTTCAATGAGTTTGCAATTACGGAAGATAATAATTCTAAATCTATCAATAAAATATGATAAATTTAGATGAAATGTCCATTAGACATTGCGAAAAGTGATAGATTTAATACGCGAGTTATATGACTGGTAGGTTTGTTAAGTTCTATGTTATTTTGATGTGGCTGGGGACTGGCCGGCCTGCAGTGTCTGTGTGACACGCAGTGATATGACTTGAATACTGTAATACCCAACCCACTCACTTGCTCAGTCTCAGTAACAATAATCTGTTTGAACCAGAAGTTACAATTTTTACCTTCCTAAAACCAGAAGTATTGACGATTTCTTTTTATTCCTCTCAAAATGGCATGGCCTACTAGCAGAATGTTGCTGAGGTCCCAGGTCATTTCGGCATATTGTTCTATCCTGGGAATATCTCTTCTGCTTTTGTAAAGGGAACTAATGTAATCTCTGGTTTCAGCTGCTAGCCGATGGAGATGATTCCAAGTCCTGGCACACCTATGAGTCGATCAAAGAAAAGGCAGATCAGATGAAGGCTGAGAGTGAGGACTCAGAGACAGATGATTTCATCTACATCAACGACTTCCCCCCACGTCGAAAACAAAAAGTCCAGGAAGAAGCCATGGAGGTGGATCAGCAGGATGCAGACAAGGATGCAGACAAGGATACAGACAAGGATGCTGACAAGGATGCAGACAAGGATGCCCCATCGTCCAGCCATTCAGTCACGGAAGTAAAGCACCCAGACACCATGGACGAGGGAGACTGTCTTGTAGGGGACAGTGATGCACCATCCTCGACACTACCAGTCAACAAGTGGGTGAAACAGGTGGTGGAGAAGATGATCGTGGAGTTTGCAGCCACAGAAAGTTTGGAGGAAGTCATCTTTGGTCCTGGGTTTCCTGTGGGAGATCAAAGGCAGATCAAGATTAGTGCTGCAAAGCATCGTGTTTACAGCTGCATCAGGGCGACTCCAGATAAAAGTACCTATGTGTGTCTCTTTCAAAAGCTTTCACCAGAGATGACACTGAGAACATTGAAATGGAAAGGCAAATGTGGGAAATATGCTATCATGCCCAAGGAAGAACTTCCAAAATTAGATGATCTAGAAAAGGACTCATTTGGAATACACACCAGTCTACAGCGAAGCCATTGGAAAGGTTATCAAGCATACAAACTGAAGAAGCCTCAAGAGGAAGAAGATGCAGACATGTCATAGAGCCTAGTCTCAAAGAAGAACTTAAGAACCACAGGATCTAACACTCCTACAGAAATAGGTCTTGTTTAAGGGAATGAAATTGATGTGACAAAAACTGCCATCGCTGACAATTTATTTGTTTGTACGAGTGTGAATAATGCTGACAATGTCATCATTTAAGCCCAGAGATCAGTAATGGCCATCATGCTTCTTGAAATGCAGCAGAAGACTGGACAGTAACTTCATGTTGTCTCTTTGTGTGAACATTGTGAAGGGATATTCTGATTGAATATTTGGAATATAGAGCAGGCACAGTGCTTGGTCCATTCTATTGCACTTTATTTGTACCATTCATGTTCAAGAGTATTATCCCATATTTTCAGATTTAGACATAGTGGTGTATATTGTTCGTCTGTAGAACTGACTTTACATTCAAGAAAGAAATGAGGAAGGTAATGTACAAACTTTTAGTTACGATGCAAAAGTCATAAGGCTGAGTTTGATTTTGTGTACCATTGTTTCCATTATCCTGTCTCCATCATGTCGTGATGGCTACTCTTGAATAAATCATAATTAAATAGCCCCATATGCTGCTGCTGCTACACTTTATTTTCAAAATCATGCAGTGCTTGGACATCCATCAGGGATATATGAAGTATGACTCCTTGAAAGCCCTTGGCAATTTTTAGAGACATGGATTGGTTACGTCAAGGGTTAAGGTCACAGCTTGAAAGGAAGTTTGTTTTCTGCCTACCTTGAAAAAGGTCCACTGCAGGTCATGATAAAAGTTGCTACGTTATCCTCTGGGTGGGATCAATTTTGGGAAGATTGTGAGTCACCTATATAAGGTCAAGGTTACAGTGAAGGTCATTAGTAAAGAATGTTTGCCATTTTCACCCAAGTGCTTTTTCTGCAGATAAGTTATTTATACAGCGATTGTCATTTGATTAATTATGTTTGGTAAGTGATGACAACAGTTGTAGGTCACTGTGACCTACTTTCATTAAGTATCATGTGTAAAACTTGTTGCTACATTAAGGTCACCTAGGGTCATCACATTTGGTTTATGTGCTAGGGAGGGCTATATTACATATGAAAACACTTGCCAAGCATGCCAAGTGAGAAGAAATATTCCATTATCCAAGAGATTGAAATTAAACCCTGGCTTGAACCTTCTTGTACATACAGGCCAATAAATGTATTTTGCAATTATTTTTCAAATAGTTTTACATGTCACATTTGTATATACATGATATATGTATTTCATTTTGTATTGATAACCTATGGATATGTATCATGCAACATTTCGATCTCATTAACAAGATACCTTTGACTCAGATGCGATATGACTTTGCATGATGATCTATGAACACCACATAGAAGGTCGCGTCAAGTGAACCCTGAAGTTGGTTGGTTGGTTAACGCACTCAGCAATGTTCGGGCTATATGACGGGGGTCTGTAAATAATCTGCATCAACCAATTCAGTGAGCCTGACCATCTGATCCCATCAGTCACCTCTTACGACAAGCATAGTCGCTGAACCCTGAAGTAACCCTTGACCTCCCAATCGAAATTAAGTTTCTACAGCCAATCAGATGTCAGCTTTCTGAAATGATTTGGCTTCATTTCATCACCATCTTGACTGACTTGAGGCTGATTGGCCAGTTAGAAAGTACTAACCGTAAAGATCAGGTTTAGAATAGGTCTTCAGCAACCCATGCTTGTGGTAAGAGGCAACTGTGCTTGTCCTAATGTGTGTGAGCAGACAATCTTTGAGCCAATCCCCGTAACAGATAGGGCACTTTGTGTACTTTTCATGAGTGGGATTTCCTCACTGATTACCTTCTGATATATCAATTAAGACAGTTCAATAATTATATCCCAAATGCAGTCTCTGTTTCCCAAGTGTTTAGAATAAATCATGTTTGCATGTTAAATATAAAATGTACTTTCACTTACACTTGAATGAATGAAGCAATTACATTATCATCCAAAACTGGCTTCCCAGAAACCTATGATTGTGAGTTCGAATCCCGGTTCGCCTTGATTATGTTTCTAGGTTTGTCAGCACCATACCGGTGATTGTGGGTTTCACCGAAGTGGTAAACGTCTGAGACATGCATCACTTCGGGCTTTCCTCCCACATTAAGCTGACATGCCACGATATAACTGGAATACTGTTAAAAGCGGTGTTAAACCCAACTCACTCACAACTGGCTTCAACAGGAGATTTGGCGGTTACCATGACATCACAATCAAATGACATTGCTCATCTGTTCCTAATGGATACAATTAGCTGTATTCCCTACAATCAAAACAGGGGCGGTCGGGTAGCCTAGTGGTTAAAGTGTTTGCTCGTCACACCGAAGACCTTGCTGGAATATTGCTAAAAGCGGAGTAAAACCATACTCACTCACTACTATCAAAACACTTGTTATTGCTGTTTACAAACTGAAAGAGTGATTGTAAGATATATAGAATCTTGCACTCGTTTCTTTTGACATTTAATTTTATCAACACTCCTTGATGAAAGTTTATATCTTTTCCACAAGCCTCAGAGTTTTAAACTCTCATCGACTCATGTTGATATATTTGATATCAAAAGATACCTGTCTGAGATTCTCTCTGTCCCTTTCCTGAGGTTATTGCTGTACAGTTTCTGGAATAATATTCCTGAAATATGAAGAGCCCACAGAATGTTGGTCAAGGTGATTGTTGTCCTTTGGGCACTACAAAAACCTGTGATTGTGGGTTTTGAAACCCAGTTAGCCCTGACTATGTTTCAGGGTTGTGCTCATGCGATTCAACAAAGTGTTGAACGTCTAAGACGTCAGACATCACTTTTGGCTTTTCCCCGACATTAGCTGACACAGTGATATAACTGGAACACTGTTAAAAGCGATGTAACACTCACTCATTCACTCAAGGTGATTGTTTAAGCATCATCCTGATTTTGTAGCTCATAATTATTTCTTTTTAGAATGTCATCTTTCCCAATTGGGATTTGGGGTTGGAATGGGTCCCTGTGGATTTTGAACTTTTACATTTTGTTGTAAAAAACTATCCTTTGTAGTTCATAATTTGTTTAGTTTAATTATGCTAATCTTGCATTTCCAAACATTGAAAAGATAACTTAGGAAATAAACTTTGGATAAAGCCATGTATTTTTATGTACTTTGTACTAAGATTAATATCCAATAATTAAGCAAGCATTTTAGTCTAAATATGAAAGCTGTACTATAATGTTACATATGACAAGAATGAAAAATGTCAATGATCAAGGAAGAAGTAATGAATGTTGAATGTTTTGATACAGATTGAACAAGTTACTTAGTTTAAATTTATTTCACATTAGCAATACTGCAGCTATTTGCAGTGAGATACAAATACATCCATCCTCTGGCAGTTTGATTTGAATGTCTTCTCTGGAACTGAGGATTGGATATTGCCAGGGTTGCTGAGACCCTTGGCCCTGTGCTACAAAGGGGTCCTAGCACTAAGATTGTCGTTACATTAGAGGAGTTGCATTGTCTTGTGTGGAACGAGGCCCTGGTTTATCTCAGAGATATGGTAGCTCGAGGGTGTGGTATTTCTCTCTCGGAACATGCCAGTCTTTCATATCCAATGATGCAGACAGTTACCAATGGTATTGTTTTAACATTATATATCCCGAATATTGCATACAGGGAACAGGCAACTAATTGTCTATAGAAATGCTTCTCCCCAGGGATAAGCAAGCCCATGGGTTATGGCTATGTGGCCATTTCTAACGGGATACTCAGCATTAGACATTGGCACTAGTCCTGTAGTCCTTGCCAAACTGCCCAATAGTTAAGGTATCATAAGGACGAGTATACATTTGACATTTTCAAGGGGTTTGCTATATGTTATCATTATATGGACTTGTGGACTAAAACTCTTAAGTTTCTACTGCTGATCATGCAGTGTGTATGTAACACTGACTTAGCCCAGGGATGTGCACCGAGATGAAACACTCCTTTGGTCTTGTAGGTGCTTGGGTAGCATGTTATCACAAGGCAATTTCCTTGGGACATGGCAGCCCTGTGGCAACTACCTTGGTTTGGGTTATATCACACACAACCCTCTTGCAGTTTGGACCTTGCAACCACTACCGCCTCAGTTGGATAGGGCGTCTGACCGCAAAGCCGAAGTTGGGTCGATCGATCTTGGCCGCGTCATACCAAAAGACGTTAAAAGATGGTACATGTGGAGTTTGTTGCACCATAGAACCAGCGTATAGTACAAGCGCACAGACACCACAGAGCATGTACTTCTCTATGTAAGTGCAATAATCTTGAACACAACGATAAACCCCATTAAACCTCACCTCACCATGCATCCAGCAGAAAAAAGGCCTGACATAATTTGTGTTGAAACCATTTGGCTCTTGGGCTGTGTCAAATATCGATGTTCATGGCCCAATTACAAATGGATTCAACTAGAAAAAATGTTAAGAACAATCCCTTCCATATTTCCATATGTCTCAAACTATGGGGTGCATCATTTAGACACGTCAACACCGAAACCTGTGAAAATGCAGGTAAACACGTTTACCCTGTAACAGTTTTAAAACGTCATTAGATTATTGATTTCGGTTTCTTTCGCCACTTGTGATCCGTTGGAAATTAACACAGGATACGATTTAAAAACTACTTTAATATAAAAATATATATAAACTGACAAGCAAAAGAAACGTCAAACATTTTCATTTTGAAGGCACATTATCATGTGTTAAGTTCAGAATGTTTACAGATAACTGATACAATGGCGACACCGGTGGGGTCAAGTCATGGGTATTAGAGCAAGTAGTCAGTGACCTCGTGCACAATAAAGCCACATTGAAGAGAATCACACAGATCAGACAATAAAGGATCGACCATTTAACATGCTATAACTCGACGCCATTTGAAATAAGAACGTCAGACGTCTGATGAGGGCTGTTTGATCCGGCGCCATTCTTCAACCAGTACCTGAGGAAAATGAAGAGGAAGAGGCCATCTCTTGTGAGTGAAGAAAGTGGTCGTTCTCTGATCTGGCGATCCAGAAAGGCCCACAGACCCCCTTGAGGGGACATGTTGGGGAAATCGTCTCGCCCAGCACACGACGTTGACGTGTTTGGTGTGCAGAAACATGGTTGTAAACCTTGCCGTTTGCGGTCTGGCGTTGTCTTGTTTGACAGGGGGCTGGGTACTGCTGCACAAACGGCAGCTCAACGGGACGAAGTACCTGTCGATAAAGCGTTGGGGAGTAAAATTGACATGAAAACAAGACTAGATCTGTTTGGACGTCACCACGGAACTACCCACTACACAGCTGGACCTCCAGAATACAACCACGTGCCTCCCGTGTCCCTGGTCGGCGGTGTACTCGTTACTCCCTCGTCAGTTCTGAATAGTTGGGTATCCATATGGCCGAAATAATGCCGATGAGACGTTAATTTAAACTCACTCACTCACTTAAGAGTTCGAGCCGATTCTCGTCAGAAAAGATAACTCTTTATCAGTTCCTGATCTGCCGCTGACGTACAGCGCGTGCGCGTCTAAATCACTGACGTCAGTGTTTGCGCCTTTGGGCTACGTCACGGACAGGTCTAAATGGCCGAAAACCGTCTCTTGATTCCACGGGCATTATAATGTTTAATATATTACAAATTAGTTTTAAAATGTTCTCATCTCGTACCAACCGTGAAGCGACAATAATAAAACATAACATATATAAATTTGATCGCTGAAAATAGCATGAAGACAAGAACAAAACACAATTCCTAATCATAGTTAAAGGTACATTGTCATGTTTGAAATTCCACAAAAAGCATTTCAGATTATTTTGGGTATTTCGAAAACAAAACCCCAACATTTTCACCTATTAATATTTTAAAGATATTAACCAGCTGAAGGTCTTATTCAGCATCAAACACTACTATTTACAATCACATTTTAATTGTCTCCCGAAAATGTGCGTTGCAAACAAACCGTATAACAGGACAGAACTTTATTGAACTCAAGACTATGTACATACTATGTTGAGGTTAGCGGAGTAGCATATTTGTGTTTGATGGCGACTTTCTACATTTGTTACACTTTTATTACTGAAATTAGGACCGACTCCGTGGTCTCGTGGTAGAGCGTCCCCCTGGACAGCGGAAGGTCGGGAGTTCCATCCCCGGCCGCGTCATAACATGCAAAAGACATTAAAAGGTGGTACTTGTTGTTACCCTGTCTTGCGCTCGGCATTGAGGGGCTAAAACAAGGACTGGTCGACTCGGAGTCAGTACACTGTGTCTGAGTGGGGTATTCATGTTAAACTGTGGCATAGTATCTCAGCGAACTAGCACTATAAGTCGGCATCAGTCCGGACTAGTACCAGCAGCAACACACACGTGCATGCACGTCGCTATATAAGTTCAATAATCCTGGACGCGACATTAAACCCCATTTAACCTTAGGAAATTATCAAGTTTCCTTAGAACACCTTTTGTATGAGATTCAGATTATAATGCGATCAATTTACATACAGAAATGTTTTGTAAGTATTCCTGATGTCGTCAAAATAGTCACATAGAAATAAATAATGTTATGCATCACCTTGGTCATTACCACTACATAATGTAGATAAATGTTTATCGATATGTATTTTGTTCCATCTTCCTTCCTCAATTGGTAGTCAATGACACGAGGTTCTAAATTTCAACAGGTTCAAGTGAGGTAGTTTTAATACATAACATTCAAAGTACCATGAGTTTTTGAAGAATTTATAGAATCTTGCTTTCGATGACCTGTCTACATCTGAATGCCATTTCTGAATAAACTGACAATGGAGACAGGTATAAACGTGGTATTTAAGCCATTCCAAATATTATTAGTGTTGCCAGTTAGGTAAAAAATGTTTTTTTAAAAACGCACAACCATTTATTAGATAGATCTAGTAGTTATTTTGAGGGGCGGTCGGGTAGCCTAGTGGTTAAAGCGTTCGCTCGTCACGCCGAACACCCGGGTTCGATACCCGACATGGGTACAATGTGTGAAGCTCATTTCTGGTGACCCCCGCCGTGATATTGCTGGAATATTGCTAAAAGCGGCGTAAAATCAAACTCACTCACTCACTCACAGTTATTTTGAAGTTTCCGAGTAGCAGATACTAACTTCGTGGCTTTACCAGAGATAATTTTCCCTAGAATGTAATTACCCCTTGTCTAAATATTTCTGCTATATAGATGTTCCCTTCCTGTTTCTCCGTACAAAACATTCAAGGGGTGTAGTCGTAACCAACTCGTCTCATTCTGGGACAAGCCTTAAAAAACTTATAGTAAGTTTCGGAAACGAATGACGTGGTGACGAATGACCTTCGTTACATCGCTGTGAGGAGCTTGATTCCAAGGGAGATAATTTTGGACGCTGATACAAGAAGAAGCGCGTAATGTTTAACCTGCTGTTTTCAAGGGAAACGAACTCAAGGTTTGCGGTTTTTCTATATTATTCATAATGCATGGATTAGTCCACTTTACTGATTTCGGATTTCAATTAGGCCTAGCGCAGGTCGAACTCAAGTTGACAGCTTGAAGCTACGCTCAGATGCCATGTGATCCATTTAGTTCACAAAATGGCCACCCTATAAACTGCATTGATTGTTTGGGGTAGCGCAGAGGAACAAACCTAAATTAGTTAAAAATGAGGTTAATACTTTAATGCATTTTTCAGTATTTTGTAATGTACATATTTGCCAAAAGTACATGGCATGTCTCATTCTGTTTGGTAAACTGTCGTATCGTGATTTTATGTCTACTCTTTGAGTTAATGGTCCACATGATAAAGTCAAGATGTCCCGAACCTGGCCCAATGGACCAGGAGTCGTGTTTGGTTTTGATTTCATGTAACTGTCTCAGCAGCCAAATTTTCAGAGTTGTTTAACACCGCACTCAGCAATATTCCAGAAACATGACGCCAGTCTGTTATTAATCGAGTCTGGACCAGACAATCCAGTGATTGATATCATGAACATGGATCTGCGCAATTGGGATCAACAACATGCATCAATGAAGTCGTGAGCATGACCACCCGATCCCATTAGTCGCCTCTTACGACAAGCATAGTTGCCTTTTACAGCAAGTATTGGTTGCTGAATACCTATTCTACCCGGGATCTTCATGGGTCATTTAGTTATCAGTCATTGGGTCTGTTAATCATTTAACAGATAGCATTTTCCTCATCATTCAAGCAATTCATTTATTGATCAGTCATTAAAGTGTCTTGTCAGATCAGCCTGTAAACAATTTAAATACCTAGTGGTTATGGAAATGTGGATTTTGATGATTGACCTGCTTTCTTCTTAGGAATACTACACGATCCGTACCAACAGAGATTTGTACACACCAAAAAATGGCTAACGCTAAAAGTCCTGTCTGAACTGTTCCAGATTTGGAACAATCATCCCTTATTTGACTGACTCGTATACAAATTTGGAGGACCCGTGTCAATCTGTTACAACCTGTACACAAATGTTGAGGACCTGTACCGGCTAACAACCAGTCACAGCTGAGCACCAATTATAGCCAAACCCCATGTCATTGTATCATATTTGCATGGATCAATACACATGATGTCAATCACTGGATTGTCTGCTCCAGACTTGATTATTTGCAGATTGCCGGCATAAGGCTCGAATATTGCTGAGTGTGGTGTTAAACAACAAACATTAGATTTAGAAGACACATGTTGGGAAATGATAAAAACAAACCATGCTCAAATACAACTTTAGAAAAGACATGTGGGTGGTGTCACTTGACTTCCTCGCATCAACAGAAATCCAACAACACCATGATGTACATTTAGTTTAGTCGTTGCTTTCCTTCTGTCTGTCATTTCTTCTTAAAAATACAATTCTGAAACCTAATTTAGATATTTTTCCCAAAATGCATAGGGGGCACGGGTGGCCCAGTCGTCTAAGGCGCCGCGATTCGCTTTGCAGAGTTGCGTCCCTTGGACACGCCAGAAACCTATGATTGTGGGTTCGAGTCCCGGTTCGCCCGGATTATGTTTCTAGGTTTGTCAGCACCATACCCGTGCTCGTGGGTTTCGCCGAAGTGGTAAACGTCTGAGACCTGCATCACTTTGGGCTTTCCTCCCACATTAAGCTGACACGCCGCGATATAACTGGAATACTGTTAAAAGCGGCGTTAAACCCAACTCACTCACTCACTCACCCAAAATGCATAACCTGTATGTATCACAAAATCCATAGTAAACAGTGTTATGGATAAGCATGTGTAGATCAAAGTTTGGGAATATTGGTTTACTTCACTTGGCAGGCGACAAACAAACAAATCTTACTCATTTTATTGAATAAAATAATTGAGTTCGATACCAGAGATAATAGAAAATGTAATTTGTAAAAGTAGGGCAGTGCATGTGATCATGTGGCATGTGTTGATCAAACGATGGCAATAACTGGTACAATAAGTCAACAGGAAAGTTTTATTTCCACCCATTTGATTCCCTCTCATCGCAATAACAGAAATAAGTGTAACAACATAAACATATTTGCTGATATTTTTACAAGGTCAGTTATTGGTACAGTCGATGTTATACACAGAATATTTCAGAAATAACAAGAAAAATATGGTAACAACTGGTCGTTAACCAGTACTCATTTATTTTTATATTTATTGCCTTTGAAATGGCACTCGTGAAGATCCGGGGTAGAATAGGTCTTGAGCAACCCATGCTTGATGTACAAAGCGATTATGCTTGTCGTTAGAGGTGATTGATGGGATTGGGTGGTCAGGTTCGCTGATTTTGGTTGATGCATGTCATTGTATCTCAATTGCGTAGATCAGTGCTCATGACATCAATCACTGGATTGTCTGATCAAAACTCCATTATGTACAGACCGCTGTCATATAGCTAGAATATTGCTGGGTGCAGCACTAGGCAACAAACAAACATTATATTTAGAAGACATGTTAGGAAATAATAAAAACACACCATGCTCAAATGCAACTTTAGAAAAGGCATGCAGGTGGTGTCACTTGACTTCCGCAAATAAACAGAAATCCAAAGACTCGATTATTGACAGACAACTGTCATATAGCTGGAATATTGCTGAGTGGAGGGCTACTCAACAAACAAAAAAACAAATCATACAGGGATAAAAAAAATGCAACACTCCATTTATAAAAAGCTATATCTGAGCTTGCTTCTTTTCCTCAGGTGCTGCTGAACTTCAAGATCAGTCATGTACTCTAGGTCTATATATGAATATGGTGGCAGGAACACACGAGAACAAGATAGAAATCCTCAAGCAAGAGCTGTTTGGGACAGTGATGAGAATCCTTCACAGTTCTCACATGGCAGCAGGAGAGTGTCGGGCACTACAGACAGATACGGAGAGGGATCTATGTTTGGTTTCAAGGGGAAGTCTCCAGCAGCTGCTACTTTAAACACCTGGGGGCAACCTGCAGTACAGAAGACTTCGGGATGGAGACGAAGCACAGATAGCAATAATGATAACATTTATCATGATATTCGGAGACAATTTGGTCAGACTGATGGATTTGATTCAATAGACTCCTCTGCAGTGATTGATCGGAGCAGGTCTGGCAATTTTGGTGAAAGAACAAGTCATGGATCTTCCTTCAGAGATGACTCATTTGGGTTAGATCAAGGTGGAGATTTTTTGTTACGCAGAGGTGACAAAGACATAAATAGGACAGGGACAAGTGGAAGTCGTAGGAGTCTGATCACTGGCTTAGGGATGGAGAAGGAAAGTAACAGGTTGACAGAAAGTATGAGATGGATGGACGCTTCAGGCATGGACACAGGCAACAGCAGATTTGGTCGGGAATCAAGAGGAGATTTGACTACAAATTCTGGAATGGAAAATCCAAGAAACAGATTTGACAGGAAATCTAGAGATTTTACTACAAGAAGTTTGGCTTCAAGTTCTCCAATGGAAACAGACAGAAGTAGATATGGTCTGGAATCAGGAGGCTTGGCTATGAGTTCTGAATTGGAAATTGACAGAGGTAGATATGGTCGTGAATCAAGAGGTTTGGCTTTGAGTTCTGGATTTGAAACCAACAGAAACAGAGTCCTTGAAAGTAGAAGTAACACATTGTATCCAATGGAAACAGAAGGTATGACATTGAATGAAGATGGCAGATACCGTGGAAATCCAAACTATCCCTCAAATGTAATCAGGGAACCTGAAAGTGACATATTCAGAGGACATAGCACTAACACCTACTTTCCAATGGATACAGAAAGAGTGAGATTGAGTGCAAGTCAAAGTTATGCTACAAATGCAAGTTTGGAGAAAGAAGGCAACAGAATAACTAAAGGGTTTAGGCTTTCTTCTTGGGGACCAAGAAGCAGTGAGACAGAAAGCATCGATCGGAGAGAGAGTAATACAGACCGTTACACTTCCAATCCAATTGCTGCAGACAGGAACAGGTTCAGAGAAAGTCGAAGATATCCTATTGGTTTTAGAAGGATGACTGAGGACAATGAAATCTCTGACATTCATAGAAGGTCATCTGTTAGACCATACACCGAGACAGGAAGCAACAGGTTCCAAGAGGGCAGTAGCATATCCTATGCAATGAAACCAGAAAGGACTCTGTTGAGTGAAGGTGGTAGAAATTGGACACCCAGTCTGGTAGCTGAAAATAGAAACAGATCTGAGGTTATAGACTATTCTGCAATTGCAAGGATGGATATGGACAGCGAAAGATTTGACATTGGTTACAGACAACGTATTGACAAACCAAGCACAGCAACCAGCAGCCATAGATTTGGGATCGATAGATTTTCTCCTAATTTAAGCGCTGAATTTCAAAGAATCAGAGGTTCTGCAAATTCTAGAAAAGACATGAGCCTGAAGCCGAGGGAGAGTCGAACAGGTTATCCAACAAAAGCAAAAAAGCTAACACTAAGCAACAGGCGCAGTTTAAATTCAAGAAGGCCAACAAGACCAAACGTGAGGACAGGTGGTAACATATTAAGGCAGAAGTACAAACTCGGCCATGAAATCAAGCAAGAGAACAGAAATGTTGACACAGGAATACAAGTCAGAAAAAGAAGAAGTAGCATGCATGCAGAGACAAGCAATTCAAATAAAACAAGAAGGCTGGACGTTCAACACACCAAAAGTAACACAGTCAGTGGCAAGGAGAAGACTCAAAGTAAACCAAGTGATGGTAAGTATGTTTCTGTGGTAAACCTGTATTTCTGTTAATGTTATGTTTAAGGTAGGCATGAGGAATGTAGAATATCGTGATACCAATATAGTTTCATAGTCGTTTTCGTATTGTAAATATCATATGTTAGGAATAAAAGTTGTACTATGCAAGCCTTTGGCGAGTGTAATACATAGAAGATATTCCATGTGTCGTGTGAAATATCATGTTTCTATGAAAATCTCCTTTCCCTGTCACGAGATGAGAGAAACATGATATTTCACGACGCATGTAATATCCCATGAAATATGATTGGAATATTGTTCTTTTAGTAATTATACTTTTGTCAGCAGATAAAAAAAATTATGAGGTCTTCCAAAAATGTATCACAAAATGTTCTGATAACTGCAAAGCTTTTGAAAAACCTCGTATACTGCGCATCATGTCTTTTTTTTAATAAAACGTTTAGTGAGGGTCACATAGGGTTTGGCTTGTAAACATGATCACTTCTGTACTTGTGGTACATTGGTAACATTGTTTTACTTATCTGATTTTTATTTTATCATCACCATTGAATAAAACATAATTTAAGGGCTAGTGAGTGAGATTGTAGAAACATTTAAACAGGGATCCTCTTCTTTCTGAAGCTTACTAATCATGTTGATGCATAACCAAGCAAAGTCATTTGGGCATGTATTTTCAACACAGGTAACGATGTATTTGACTTATTTATGGCTAACAAATTGAAATTGTTTCCCAAATATTGTGCAAGAATTTATTTGTATTTTATGGGAACACCCCTCTTCCAAAAAAGCTGCATCCAAACACGGGTTTAACTGTGACTTGGCTTATGGTGATCCAGGCATCATGAATAGATGGGAGGCTATTGAGCTCTGATTTACTGGGTTCAGCACCTGTTGGCTTAATCAGTTTGCAGGTTACTTTAGCAGTGTTCAAAATTGAGCTTGAAAGTCAAGAAGTCCTTGTCATAACCTTGATTTTAAAAATCAAAAAGATGACTTTGTTGATGCATGTCATCGTATATGTAAATCGATGCGCTTGTTGTCAAATACTGGATTGTCTGATCCAGACTCCCATTATTTACAGACGACTGTCATATTGCTGGAATATTGCTGAGAGTGGCGTTAAACAAAAAGAGGAAAAAGTGAAGATTTATTTCGGGCAGTCTCATAAAAATCAGATCTTAGTTCTCGCTACCGCTAAACAAAGATCTGAGGACATCCCATTACGGGTCACATCAGAACGACCTTTCGCGAATTTTGACTGACCAGTGAAATGACTGACAAGAAATCGACATTAGCCAATCAGAAGGGAGCTTTCTCGAGCTTTACGTCACTAGTTTCAAACTAGCGACTTTGCTTCGAAACATAATTTGACGTATTTTGATTAAAAAAATTAAAACTGATAAAAAGAACATTCTGGAATGGCTTATAGATGGCCTAGATTGTTTGGATATAATCATAAAACCTGTAACTGTTGTTCAGAATACCCTGTGTTAAATATTTCGTGGTTGCAAGATTAGAAAACACATTCTGACTGTCACTTTCATGATCTGGTGAGCGACGTTCTAATTGGTTGGATGAGAGGTCATTTTGACGTGACCCTTAATGGGATGTCCTCAGATCTTTGTTTAGCAAAAGCGAGAACTAAGATCTGAATATAATGAGATTAAACTTCGGGTGGTCTACCTGTCAGGGGTCTAATCATCACTATCATGAGTATGTTTCCTCCTTTCTTGGATTATTAACAAAATAATTATGTTACAGGTAAACAAGAGCAGAGGGTTAATGAGAAGACTTCAAATACTGGAAATCAACTCTGGAAGTTTATTGCATTAAAACTAGTTGTTAGAAACTTAGGTGAAGCAGAAAAGAAAAACTCCATATCTGCAATGAACCTTGCCCTGAAGAGGAGTAAACTGGATCTAAAGTTGGTTTTCCATTGTACAGAGTTGGACAGGATTCAGAACAAATTGAGGTTCACAGGAACATTGCACATCGGTGATGTCTTCCTAGCTAGATCTGTGAGCAACAGCAGGAAGTTTGCGAGAGGTACATGCTATTCAAAGGCCATGAAGGTCCTCATGACTCAGCCAGCGGAAGATATTTTGAAACTGAAAGACAAAGGTACTGAGGAATCCATTGATTCTTTCAAAAATGTTGAAAGAAGCCAAAAGGAGACCTCCACTGAGGAAATGGAAAGTCTTGACCTTTGTGAAAAGTTGAAGAAGCTGATCAGCTTTATGAATGGTTCACAGAGGAAAGCTTGTAACCCTATGGATGAGTTGAACCATGCAGTTGGTTCTTCTGTGTGTCAGCTACGTCGAGAATACAAAGAAGAATTGGTTGAGGTTCAAGAGGGAGTCACTTTTTGCAAGGGCACGCTCACTCTTGATGGACTTCTGATTGCTACTGTTACAGGGAAAGAACCAAAACAGGTCAAGCGTAGGACATATGGGAAAGCAGTAGATTTTCTCAAGAAAAGCCCACTGTCAGTTGTCATTGATGGTGCTGCTGAAGATAAGCACAGTTCCTTTCTTTCAGCACATGATGTCCTGTCACAGAATCATATGAAGGCAAATATAAACACACAGCAGAAGCTTGCCAAGCTTATCAACCTGGTTAAAAAGATACCAGATGAAAGTGACATTGTTAACCAATTGGGCCTTGCTATCAGGAAAGCCGATGTGCTTCTCACATGTCTCTACAAGAGAGGTGATATTGTGGACCGCTTGAAAGTTTTCGAGTGTGAACTTTACCTAAACTGCATATATATCTGTACAGCTGAAGGCCACAGGATTCAGGAGGCAGGAATCAATGCTTACAGAGAAGCATTTACTGTACTTTCAAACAGTTCATCAGACACCATCTTCAATGATTTCAAGCAGGTGACTTCTCAAGATGTACAGGGAGTTATTGAAGTTAGTGAGGATTTTGAAGGCAAAAGAATTTTGAAATGTTTTAATTCAAATCTATTGAGGAGCATGGGGCTCAAGAGTGGTATACGGTTTGAACCTGTGCCAGACTACAGAGAATTTCCAAGAGATTGGCAGAGCATGATTGTTATGGAGCAGGACGCAATGTCATCAGACCGCTTGAATAGAGCATATGACATTCTTTTCGAAACTGCTACCAAGAACTTTACCTCAATGTTTCGGAAGATTGGGTCAAAAGGAAGCGTTCGCAAGTAAGTTTGAAAAAGAAGAAGAAGAAAAAGTGATGTAATGATGGATACTACAGTATGTAACGTATCATGACACAAGATAATTGCCTTTGCAGTACATGGGTTTCCAAGTGACAATGAATAATAATGTGCACATAAAACTGAAAAAAGGAAACATGGTTAACACAATAAACATGAGACTAATTCCATCAATCTCTCATAATTAACTGTAATATATAGGCATATTCACTGGCTCAAGATGACAGTCCTTATGTTGTTTTTAAGGTGTGAACTATTCCTACAAGGTGAGAAGCTCGCAGCGGCCAGTGGCAGAAATAATGGTGAAGCTTCTGCAAAGGCAGCAGCCAAAATCCTCTTCAAGTTGTACGAGAATCAACCAACAATCAAGGTATTAAGCATCTGTGTGAGAAAGTCAGCCAAATATTGATGTAACATTTTATTGTTAGAGGATTTGTTGTGAATGCTTTAGTTACATGACAAAGAGACTTTGTAGTCATTGTTGGGTCAAACACAAACAGGAAATAAACTATCATATCAAGTTGAGACCTCAACATACCGAAGGATTCAGTTTTCAATTTCTTTTTGTCAAGGGGCAATACACTTATGTGAGGAGCCATCATTTTTTTAACTTGATAAAAACGAATATGGTTTCTATTTCTAATTCACAATTTATTATGTTTACAATGAAATAACAAAGATTGATTTTTATCTAACAAAATCAGCATCCAGGGTACAAGACTGGGGGATATGGATATTGTGGGAATATTTTTCTTGTGTTTTGAAAGGGATCTGTGGTTTCAGCTGCTGTCCGAAGGGGATTATTCAAGGTCCTGCCACACCTACGAGTCAATCAAAGAAAAGGCAGATAAGATGAAGGCTGAGAGTGAGGACTCGGGGACAGATGACTTCATCATTCTCCCGTGGACACAACAAAATAACCAGGAAGAACTCATGGAGGAAGAAGACAGTTTTATAGGGGATAGTGATGCACCATCCTTGACACTACCAGTCAACAAGTGGGTGAAACAGGTGGTAGAGGTGATGATCGAGGACTTTGCAGAAACAGAAAGTTTGGAGGAACTCGTCTTTGGTCCTGGGTTTCCTTTGGGAGATCAAAAGCAGATCAAGATTACTGCTACAAAGCATCATGTTTATAGCGTTTACAGGAAAGCACCAGATAAAGATAAGACCGTCAGTGTTTTTCAGAAACATTCACCCGAGAAAATGCTGGAAATATTGGAGGCAAATGATGGTGCATGTGGAAAGTATGTTCTTGTACCAAAGAAAGATCTTCCAAGATTAGCAGATCTGGAGGCAGATAATTTTGGAATCAGCATGGCCCTGCAAGAAAGTCATTTTAAATAATTTCGTGGTAATCCATCTGAACAGACAACAATACTAAAACATTGATTTACAAATATCCACCAAACACTTCTCTTTCACCCTTATTTTACACTTCAGTTGTTGAGTGTAATCAGATATTAGCTGTACATTTCCTGGCATCCACATGTCACTGATCAGGTGCTATTTTCATCGACAATGAAAGTGTTCATGTGATCACCTTCCAAACAAGGTATGTTCACTAATTACAAGATTTCACTCGCAGAGTCGTTTTCCATTAAATCTGTCATTAATTGGCTGTTTTTGTGAATACGTTTCAGGAATTATGCGGAGTTTTCATCTGCAACAAGCATACCGTATGTACATATTTGAATTTCAATATTGAAACTGAGCATGTTTTGTTGCTGCGTTCTTTGGTGACATTGTTGACTATACAACTAACATACTTATGTGAAGGTATATATACCGCCTGCTTAGGGCTTGGATGGGTGACTCGGGCACTCAAATCGGATAGGTATACTGAGTAGGACCCGGGTACCAACATGATACATTGTTTAATGACAAAGTTTCACTGTGACTCTGTGGTTACACTACAGGTTAGGGCTGGGACGAGTCCAAATTTACTACTTGGGTTCCAACCCCGCTATAACCCGACCCTACCCGGGTACCCGCTACAGGTCTCAAGAGTTTGGTACAAAATGTCCGATTGGAAATAGTTTGAGCGTAGCCCTGGTAAAATTAATTTAATATATGAATAAAACGATCTGGTCATGCATACACTGAAGTTGACTGAAGTGTTATTTTTTTTTCAAACCTATAAATGTCACAAGCAATAGTGCTTATTCAGAAAGAAATGCAAACATTAGTAACTTGTACTGTAACCTAGATATTTTTAATCATTACACAATATATCACATGACTTACCACGGGTCCGGGTAGTCCTGTGGGTACCTGGGTTCTACTCAGTACCCACCCGACCCAAGTACCCGAGTTGCCCGTCCTAGCCCTGCTACAGGTCACTAATGTTCGCATTTATTTCTTACTTTGTTTGAATAAAAACAAAGCTTCTGTCAACTTCAGTGTATGCATGACCAGATCTTTTTAGACATGTATCTAAAAACTTTTTGCCCAGGGTTCCAATAAAACAATTCCCAATCCCACTTTTGTCCCCATCTCTTCAGACTGACAGGGGTAGTGTCGGGTAATAGGGGTCGAGTACCTGGGCAGTAAATTTGGGCTCGTTCCAACCCAACTTATGATGTAATGTGAAAGGACTTTTTACATGAAACAAATTAATTTTTATATTATGAAGTCAATATGTCTTGTAAATACTTAAAAAATAATTTTGGCAACATATTTAACATGTTTAAGAATAATATTTTGTTAAAACCACATGGCTCAGGTTTAAAAACTTTGTGTGAATGTAATGGCCAAGTTTATTCAGGGCATCACTATTTGCCGTCAAGATCCTCATCCTACCTTTTTTGACTCACTACAGATACATGTACAATTCTAAGGTTGAAGTGTCATACAAGTATTACCTCATTACTTGTAAAGATTCAGGTTAGAATATGTCTTCAGCAACCCATGCTTGCCGTAAAAGGTGATTTACGGGATTGGGTGATCAGGTTTGCTGACTTGGTTGATGCATGTCATCATATCCCAGTTGTGTGGATCGATGCTCATGATATCAATCACTGGATTGTCCAGTTCAGATTTGACCACGGTAATTACAGACCACCGTCATTTAACAAACAAACCAAACAAAATTACTTCATTAGTTAGGTTGGTCTTCAGCAACCCATGCTTGCCTTAAAAGGCGACTATGCTTGTCGTAAGAGGCGACTAATGAGATTGGGTGGTCTGGCTCACTGACTTGGTTGATGCATGTCATCGTATCCCAATTGCGTGGATCGATGCACATGACATCAATCACTGGATTGTCTGGTCCAGACTTGATTATTTACATAGAGCTGGAATATTGAGGAGTGTGGCGTTAAACAACAAACAAACAAACAACATTAGTTAGGTTACCTACAGAGACTGGCTCTATATTCAAGGTGTTTGTGCATGTTTGTCAACTGAACCTACCCAGTATGTTTGTTATAGTTCGCAACCATGGTTTCAAATAGAAATAATAAAATCTGTGAAGGTCAATATCTTCACACTGATACTGAATATATCACAATTTTCTTACAAGGTAGTACTGGTACCGGTAGCGAGAGGCACGAGACTTTCTATTTTATTTCAGTACTTCATTTGAAGTAGTAGGCATGTGTTTTACCAGTCGGGTCACACTGAAAATGTGTGGTACTATTCAATCATTCCTGGAGACTTCTAGAAATGCAAGCACTTTCAAACACTATTATGTATATTGGTAAATGATCTTATAACATAAAGATGTAATTCCATTGAATCATGTTTCTGTGTTATATTTGATGCATTTATTATTTCATCTTTGTTTCGCTGGGAAAAGCTGCAACAATGTATCAGGTAATATTCACTCACTCATCTCGTCAAACAGCTGTTATATTCGATTTAATCTGTTTTTCATTCTTATTAGCTTACCTGAGTGAGTGAGTGGGTGAGTGGGTGAGTTTGGTTTGTTGGCACCTTAAACAGCATTTCAGCTATATGACAGCAAACCAAGCCTGGATCAATGATTGACATCTTGAGCATCAATCCATGCACTTGGGATATGATGTCATGGAATCAATCAAGTCACCTGACCACTACAACCTTTTGGTCTTACAACCACAGTTGACTTTGATCAAAGCGTGTCAACTTGATGTGGGAGGAAAGCCTGAAGTAATGCAGGCCTTCTATGGCTATGGTGCTGACAAGCCTAGACATATTATTGGGGCAAACAAGGATTTGAATCCATCATAGGTTTCTGTCATACCTGAGGGATGCTACTGCACAGCGAATTGCAGTACCTTAGACGATTGGGCTACTCGAGCTTCCTCACTTGACTGAAGGGGCCACGGATTGCCCAGTAGTCAAAGGCGTTGCAATTCGTTGTATAGAGTAAAGACCCTATGATCGTTGGTTCGGATCCCAGTTCACCCTGATTATGTTTCTTGGATTGTCGGCACCATACCCATGCTTGTGGGTTTCACCAAAGTGGTAAAGGTCTAAGACCTACAGCACGTCAGGCTTTCCTCACACCATAAGCTGACATACTGTGATATAACTAATACTGTTCAAACAGACGTAAATCTCACTCACTTGACTGAAAGGCAAGTTATCTTATGTCACTGAGTACATGTCTGAAATTGACCGCCTCCGTGGTCTTGTGGTAGAGCGTCCGCCCGGAGAGCGGAAGGTCCAGGGTTCGATCCCGGGCTGCGTCATACAAAAAGACGTTAAAAGATTGTACTTGTTGTTACCCTGTCTGGCGCTCGGCATTAAGGGGCTAAAACAAGGACTGGTCGGCTCGGAGTCAGTATACTGTGTCTGAGTGGGGTATTCATGTTAAACTGCGGCATGGTATCTCAGTGAGCTAGCACTATAAATCGGCATCAGTCCGGGCTAGTACAAGCAGCCACACACACACATGCACGTCGCTATATAAGTGCAATAATCTTTGACGCGACGTTAAACCCAATTTCACCTCACCTCACATGTCTGAAATCAATCACTGGATTGTCTGGTCCAGACTCGATTATTTACGGACTGCCGTCATATAGCTGGAATATTGCTGGGTGCGGCATTAAACAACAAACAAACAAAACAGGTCTGAAACTCCACTCATGCTACATTCTCCCCTGTCAACAGAAGGCATGTCCCCGTGTGCATAGTTACGTACTGACACTTATTTTGCTCAAATTTGATATTAAAGTGCTCCGCCCCACGTTTGGAAACCAATGTAGTGACACAATATTTCCGATTCTCATATGATGCTTGTATGTGACCAAAGAGGTTAAACCCGTCAACAAGCTGACAAGGTACAGATGTCATTTGTGGGATGACTCCAGCGATGTTTAACCAAACACTCACTCAACCACCCTGTCCGAGTAGATATATATCAAATCAAATATTATATATAACAATTTTATTGAATTTATAGATAACAAACTATTTAACAAAATGAATGTATGCTGATTACATATATGTAAAACAAGACCCATATTTACCACTGACATCCTACATCAATAGAATATGTTCTACACGAAGGGCAATGGATGCACACGGTGTGCTATATAAAAGGAACGCATACGACGACCTCTGGACTGAAGAGGTGAAAGTGCATCAGCCAAAGTGCATGACTGAGAAGCTCAAAGCAGAAAATCATAGAATAAAAGTGAGATCCTCTAACTCAAGGTGTATATTCATATGAGAATTCATTAACTTGTTGATTCATTTCTTGACAAGATATTGCTTAACTTGCTCATCGCTTTCAACAAAAATAAATGTGAATACGTTGCCACCTGCTCTGCTTTTACCGATAAGCCAATCAGACCATTTATCAATTAGATTTCATGATTATCTAAGAAAAAAGAGAGGAATTCATACAAGCAAACATCCTTAAAACACACTTGAAAGTTTCTATGATCAAGTAAATCAAAACTAAGTTGACTTGATGACCTTAGAATCATTTCTTAAGGTGTTTCATGAATCCACTATTGAACAATCTAGTCTGCTGCCAAGTATAAGAATGTCATGCATTTGCTGATGACCTGTGAAGATCTGGGGTAGAATAGGTCTTCAGCAACTCATGCTTGCTGTAAAAGGCTACTATGCTTGTATTAGGTGACTAATGGGATCGGGTGGTCAAACTCACTAACTTGGTTGATGCATGTCATCGTATCCCAATTGATAGGAACGATGATGTCAATCACTGGATTGTCTGGTCCAGACTCAATTATTTACAGACCGCTGTCATATAGCTAGATTATTGCTGAGTGCGGCGTTAAAACAAACAAACATTTGCTGGTGAAGTGATCATCAGGTCCACATTGTGTTGCAGCAGGAGTTGAGAGCTGTAGGTGATACGCGAAGACTACAAATCTTGTGTTCCGTAAAGCGCGATTATGCTGAGATGATCTCAACTCCCACAAATAAACCTAAGGCAATTGTAGCACTATGATTGTGGAAAGATGAGCTGAATGATGAATTACGCAGCAATCCGCAATCTTCCAGCTGTGTCATGGCCGTCACAGGTCGCAAATAAGTGGTTGACTGCATGAACAATTATTCTCACTGTCGGGGTATAATGACACATTATCAATTCATTAGACGGATATAATAAGCATGGATTATTAGGCAACAATCTTGACCTGTATTTACACAGTAAACTAGGGACACAAATGTGCACTAGCTTATTAGCCCTTGTCAGTTTGTCTAATGTCAAGGGTATCCGAATGCTAGTAAAATTTCAGGATTTGTTGGGACTGTCCTCATATCATTAACGGTTAGAGTTCAAGCTGCATCCCAGAATTATATAAAACTACATCATAGAGACATTCACTCATTTCTTTATATATATAGGTATACTAAACAAAATAATCCACCCCATTCCATTCTCATCCGCTTCTCGGGGCACGGGTGCTGCGATACGCTGTGCAGAGTTGCGTCCCTTGTGCATGCCAGAAACCTATGATTGTGGGTTCGAATCCAGGTTCGCCCCGATTATGTTTCTAGGCTTGTCAGCACCATACCCGCATCACTTGGGCTTTCCTCCTGCATTAAGCTGACGCGCAGCGATATAACTAATACTGTTAAAAGCGGCGTTAAACCAGATTCACTTACTCATCTGCTTCTCAGTCCTAGCAGCCTATATCCATCCCATTTTATCTCTATGGCCTTCGAGTTAGTTATGTGAAACTGTAAAAACAATGAGTGCTGCAATGTGCTTGGTCGATAATTGTACATCTGTGAATTAAGACGCCCCCGACTTCCCACTATATACATGATAAGCTTAAGCTGGAAGTGTGTGGCTGTGAATAATCCTGAGTACACTTGCATGACGAAGGCTCTACAAAGTCAAGCTGGCCATGTGCTCCCTTCACCAGGTTCATCTTAAACCGTCAACATTTCATCAACTCTCAATGAAATGTTTATGCCGAACAATAAGTTGCTTCACAATTTCTTCTTCGATCTCTAATCCCTTGTCCGAATCTTCTTTTGAAAGTAAGATTGGCTTTTCTGTTTGCTTGGTTACAAGTACAACTTCGTACTTCCTTGTGTCAAGAAGGTTTGCTATCACCACCTGAAAATGAAATTCCATTACTCATTGATGTGATCTTGTACACCCTACTAAAGTTAGCTGTCAAACATGGGTTATTGGTAGTGAACCATGAAACACTCTATAACATCACAGTGGGGTTGCGATAGATACGTATCCCGATCTATAGGAGCGGATATGATACAGAGATTTTATTTCATAAATTGATACACCCCGAACCGAATCACAACTCTGAAATATCCGGGTTAGAATAGGTCTTCAGCAGCCCATGCTTGCCATAAAAGGCGACTATGCTTGTCGTAAGAGGCGACTAACGGGATCGGGTGGTCAGGCTCACTGACTTGGTTGATGCATGTCATTGTATCCCATATGCGTAGATCGATGCTCATGATGTCAATCACTGGATTGTCTGGTCCAGACTCGATTATTTACAGACCGCCGTCATATAGCTGGAATATTGCTGAGTGTGGGGTTAAACAACAAACAAACAGCTCTGAAAGTCTTGTTTATAAATTTCAGAGACCAAAGATGGGGTATTGAAGGGAAGAATGTAGGCTTGTGGGCGCACTGTGAATGTTATGCTATTTATAACCAACAGTGAAATGCGAGAGTATCTGCGTAAACTGGTTGTTTAACAGTTGGGAAATGATGACATTCATCAACCAACTCGGCGAGCCTGACCACCCGATTCTGTTTGCCGCCTCTTATGACAAGCATGGATGGCTGAAGATCAATTAACAATGAGTTAAATTTGTTTTTAGAGATTGAGTGGTACTGTAGAAATTTAGTTCAAACATCAATGAAATTAAAATATTTTTCCATAACAATTACTCATCTTCCAGAGGCAAGGGAGTTAACTGACTATAAAAGTCCAGTTTTCACCCTTGCCGAACTAGGCTGGAATTATGGAGTTATATTTTGGCTTGACTGACAAGTCTCATGTAAAGTCCAATCAAAATTGTGTAATGAAATCAACATCTGGTTCATGAACTGCCATGCAGATTTTAGTCGATTGCAGGATTTGCAAAGCATGTGTACTGCCAACTCGAAGTCAACAGATATTTTCCAAAGCTGTTCATATTTTTAATCAAGGTTCTCACGTGATTTCATAAACTTTGTGAAATAACCCGTTTTATCACAAAAAAAATTTTAATTACTGATCAGATTGTTTTGTTTGAAGCAAATGCAAGTGATATGAAGGGTGGAATCTCATTGGTCAATAGGAGGGACATAACTCATAATAGCCACTGGTGGTGCTATGATAGAGCACGGAAATTCCAGCCTAGTTCGTGAAGGGTTGACACTGGACAGTCAGTTAAATCCTTTGCCTGAGGAATACTAGGCAATTATATATTCCTTCAGAGGTGCTTTTTCTGTAAAAAAAATAGCTGTATTGTATACACAAGAAAATATGGAGCGTCATTAAAATGTTCGGTCATAGTTGGGGACACTTATAAATATTACTTACAGATTGGTCTAGAAGTTGGCTAAGGGGCTCAGTACGGTGAATACAGTATTGTTAATTTGACATTAACTGAACCCTGGTTGGTTCAAACTCTGTTACCTAAATATATCACAAGAGACAAAGGAACATTATGGTCTCAGCAAATATTTTATTATGCCTATAGTCCAATACACTTCTGACCACCTATGTGGTCTAGTGGATAGAGCATCTGCCTGGAGAGTGTAAAGTCAGTGGTTCGATCCCCATGTGCGTCACACCAAAAGATGTTTTGTTTCTCTGCCTGTTGCTCAGCATTGACACATTAAAACAACGACTGGTTGGTTCGGAGTCGGTATGCAGTTTTCTGAATGAGGTATTCATTTTAACACTTACCTGATGCTGGTATTTTTCTAGAGCTGCGTATGCCTTTTTTGACAGCAAATTTCTGTCCGTTTCAAGCTGAAAGGTCACACATATATTACGAGCATAGTGCAATAAAATAAGAAATATGGCATATATTTGAATAGATGAGGTTGGAAAAAGTTCTCCTAAATCCCACTTGTTTCAATAGTGATGATAAATATTAACTTTTCAAAAGTTCTTATATGAATACAAAGCATCTCATCAACAGTCAGTTTAAATATTTGTTCAAACTTTCAAGACCAAGCACTAAAAATGTACAGGCCATTCCTTGCGATGGAAGTATTTTAGTGAGCATGTATTTGTTCTTTTGTACCTTGAAAGAAACAACAAAGGCATTTGGTGCCCACTCATGGACGAGAGGTTTCAGCATCTTGGGCACAAGCTGCAGGGAGAGTTGCAGTGGTTTGTCTGTGGACGACTGGATCTTGTGTTCAGGCTGGCAAAGGAAAGTCTCTCACTTTAATTAGGAGATAACTATACTGTGTTCTCAATGTACAACATACGATCTGTAGGTCTGACATAGCATAGGTCACATGGGACCAAACTTCACCCCCAAATCCTAATCGGGAGACTACATATGAAAAGCCCTAAACGTCCCACAAATAATTTTATTACCCATAGGGTTAGAAATAACAGAGTTCATAAAATTGGATGTGTACTGGTGCCAATAACACTTCACACGCTCCAGTGTACTGTTAATGTCATCCAGACGTCAATCGATTCATATTGTGACATAAGGTCGGAATGACTTCACAGGTGGTCAGTGCATTTTTGTAGAGGGAAGCTCAAAAGGATTAAGAAATAATGGGATTTGAAGAAATTATTACACTTGAATGTGTAGCATATAGATTTTTCGAAGCTCGTGCAAGAATTTATGTATTACCCTTGCTCTTGCTCAGGAAATACCAGAATTCGGACATTCGTTTCATAAAATCAGTACATCTCTATAGATATTGTGAATTAAGTTTTAATAATGACAAAAAATAATTTTATATAGCATTGGTCAGTTGGTTTATTGTTTAAAGCCACACTCAGCAATATTCCAGCTACACGACGGCGGTCTGTAAGTAAGAGTCTGGACCAGACAATCCAGTGATTGTTATCATGAGCATCGATCTTCGCCATGTGGGTTCGATGACATGCATCAACCAAGTCAGCAAGCCTGACCACCCATTCCCTTTGGTTGCCTTTTACGACAAGCATAGTCATATTTTACGGCAAGCATGGGTTGCTGAAGACCTATTCTACCCCGGATCTTCATGGGTATTTTATATAGCAATTAGTTTCCATCATGTGTGCAACTGCAATATATACAACATATACCCAAAAGCGATGATGTACAGAATAGGTTTACACTGTCAATTCTAGTAATCATGGATCGCTGTCATCTCACAACATTTTGGAAGAAAACAGTTTCATAAAGATGGGTTTTTAGTTAAGTTACAATGTCAAGAGCTTTGTACCATTTCATGTTTGGGAATGTAGAAGTCCGACACGGCGGCAGCAAGGTAGAGAAGGGCTTTCTTGTTGATGGTGTTGAGAATCTGTGCGGAGGCCCGGAGGAGATGCAGGTACTCAGCCAGGGATGTGAAGTCTATGCTCAACAACAGGTCCTTCTCCTTCACACTCTCATACTCCTGGAGGACTGACTTCAGGGATGATGTGTGTTCACGCTTCACTGAACGTTTCAGGGACAAAACATCTCATTATGGACATTATTTGAGTGAGTGGATGGGTGGAAGAGTTAGTGGATGGGTGGAAGAGTTAGTGGATGGGTGGGTGAGTGAGTGGATGGGTGGGAGAGTGAGTGGATGGGTGGGAGAGTGAGTGGATGGGTGGGAGAGTGAGTGGATGGGTGGGAGAGTGAGTGGATGGGTGGGAGAGTGAGTGGATGGGTGGGTGAGTGAGGGGATGGGTGGGAGAGTGAGTGGATGGGTGGGAGAGTGAGTGTATGGGGGGTGTGTGTGGGTGTGTGTGTGTTTGAGTGAGTGGATTTGGGGTGGGGGGGGGGTGTTTGAGTGAGTGAGTTTTTTCGCCTCTTTCAGCAATATTCCAGCAACATCAAGGCAGAACTCCAGAAATGGGTTTCACACATTATTAACATGTGGGAAATTGAATAAGGGCCTTCAGTGTGACAAGTGAATGCTTTAACCATGTGGCTTCATACAATATAACTGTGCTTTCAAATCAGCAATCACTGTTGTGACTTTAAGTATTAACTTGTTCAAATTAACATATTTATATAGACTGTTATAAAGATTACATTTGAAATTAATATACTGAAAACAGCTAGCACAATACGACTTGTTTATTCAAGATCTAGACTCAAACTGCCATCTCTACAATATAATCGTGACATCCTCACAACCTGACCAGATATCCCAGCAACATGTACCAAATAATCGAGCACATACCATTTCTTACCAGTTACATAGCAACATTAGAATTCTCTATAACTCCCTGACAAGCTTTTACCTTCGTCATCACTTCCAGTATCTAGAGTTATCTCCCTTCGATCATATGCGGTTGTTGCTAACACAGGAACTTCAAACGAGAGTGAGTGAGTATAGTTTTATGCGGCTTTTAGCAATATCACAGCAGGGGACACCAAATATTGGCTTCAAACCCGGGCCTTCTGTGTGATGAGCAAACACTTTAAGCAATAGGCTACCCCCGCGAACCTGTTCATGGAATTCTCTGTGAGGATTCCTGGTTAGAATAGTTCCCAGGCAACCTATGCTAGTCGTATTAAGAGATGACCAAATGTTCCAGGGTCAGGCTAGGTTAAACTGTGTGTCATTCTACCCTGATGGTGAGTATAGCTGCTCACAATATCGATCACTGGATTGTCTGGTCAAAATATTCAAGTCTGGACCAGACAATCCAGTGATTAATAGTACAAGCAAGGTACAATGCTGTCGGGGTATGATGACACGCAAACAACCAAGTCACAGAGCTTGACTACACGATCCATTTACTGGTGATCACCTCATAGACAAGCAAAGGCTGCTAGGGGCTGTTCTAAACTGAGTTGGAAACTATGTACAGGGAAACTGTCACTGCTTTCAAGGAAATTGTGTCATTGGTGTAAATGGCTGAATCTTATTTTTATCAGCAAAATCACAGGTGTGAACCAAGTAATCAAGCATGGACCAGATAGACCAGTTGCTGACAGTGTGAGCCCCAATCCAGTCTGGCCAAGATCGGCCAGGTCATCAAGATTTGACCATAGCTCAACGGCTTACATTTCCTAACACACTTCAGTCATTCATCCAACAATATCTTACACATAAATGTCAGATTCTGATTCAATTAGACCCATGCTATTATTTTCAATGTACCCTTCTCACATGTTAGGGACATTTCTTGTGTTTCCTGCTAGAATCTCAAACTTTTGGCATTACATTTGGAACATACCAACTGCAAGAGAATTAATGAAGTAAGACGCGATTATCTAGATATTTACGATATATTTTCCGAATGAAATAGATCGAGGTGGAATGACTATAAGTTTGTTTGAAACCATCTAAAAACCAATTCCCCATTGTATTTGTCTCTTAGACAAGATACATAGGTATGGGAACCTGTTCTATCATACATGGCTCAATCCCAGACGAATTCTGTGGTAAAAATACCAAAAGCTTTGGATAGAAAGGATTAAAAATAATGAAAATTAGTGTATTGATTGACAAAGGGCAAATTCCACAATTTTTCTACAATTTTGTGATAAGTTACATTTTCTGCAAATATTTCTGCGATTGCAGAATCACAGAATTTGTCTGGGTCTGATGGTGAGACTTGTTCATAGGTGAGAATACCAGTTACTGAATCTCCCTTGGCCTCCAGCATATCCATCATGTGGCGCTGGACATGGCGAGAGTACGGCTCCAGCGACCTCAGTCGGTGCAGAAATATAACTGCATACCCTTGCTGCAGGAAATATCTGGCTCCAGGTCAAGGACACTCAAACAATCAATCAGACTATGCAAAAAACCTATATATGGTCTCTCACTGTCACTGCAAGGATATCTATACTCGGTATGAAGGCCATAGGCCCATGTACATCAATTCAGCAGGTGACAGATGGGTAGTTAATCTTCTCTCATTAACACTTCATTACCATTTTTATCATGTTACAAGATAATGACATATTGAACTTACTCATGTTAGGGTTATATCAATAAAACTTAGAAATATCATTTGATCAAAAGCAGTGTCTGAAACTCAGCAGAGGAAACTGAGAGCCTTAAGGGCCAGCACATTTAAAAACTGTAGGCCCAAACATTTTAGCTATATCAGGGAGATATACTCTTGTTATAGAAATGACACACCACAACCAGTCAACCAGAAGGTTTTACTGCTATCACACCGAGTTCCCAGAGACTGGTGAAAATGATCAAGGCAGTGCAACATGGGCATGCCAATAGAAAGTGGTACTCATCTGAAATTGCTCCAAACATACACAATCTACAGGGCCAAATGCAACAAGCAATACCACATCCTCTTCCAACATTTATCCTTAATGGGAGTTGCTAATTCTTAATAAACATAAAATTTGTCTATCAAATAATGAACCGTGAGTGTACATAAAAAATACTTAACTGCTTGATGTCAATTATACTCTTGATACAGACATAGTTTAACAGATTCACAAACTGTTGAATGCCAGTCTTACTGACTGCAATTTCTTCAACCTTCGCACCGTAAAGATCAGGGTTAGTACTGGTCCATGCTCGTCTTAATGGCGAGTATGCTTGTCTTAAGAGGCGACTAACGGGAATGGGGTGTCAGACTCTCTGACTTAGTTGATACATGTCATTGTATCTCAATCTCGATCTCGTAGATTGATGCTCATGATGTCAATCACTGAATTGCCTGGTCTTGATTATTTACAGACCATCGTCATATAGTTGGAATATTACTAAGTCCTGCATTAAACAACAAACAAACAAACTCTTAATCTCTGTACAAATTTTACTGCCACAATTTTAATTCTTTCCATGCAATTTTTTACGTTTGTTTCTGTTATGACGATTCAGGATAACAACAGCAACTTTTCTTGATTTTGATTCCTCAGCATCGAAAATCTTGAGGACATAACAACAGTATGTCAAGGTGGTCTGCCACACTGCCATTACATCGTTACAATAGTGTCACTGTGATATGAACTATATCTACAGTGAGCCAGATGTCATCACACATATTGTACTGTGATGTATTGCTGCAATCCTAACCAGTAAAGACAAGTGACTACAGATTTTTTTCAAATAACCTGGAGCAGAAGCCTAGGTGAGTTTCTTGCAAGACCTTCTCTCATAGGGCAAGAAGAGCCAACACAGCAACTTGGCAGATTTTAATACGTTAGGGCATACTTTATCACAAATGCTTGTCCAAAATAAAATTTGAAAATCGGAAATAGTGGAAAACACCAGAAATGCAAAATCGTTCCCCATACAAAAAAATTCCTCCAGTAAGGGGATTCCCCTTAGTGGAGGTTAAAACAGGTTCCTGGAGTTTGACGCCTTGGCATTTTCAATGACGAGCAAACGCCATAACCACTAGGCTCCCCGACCGCCCCCCCCATCAAGAAGTGACATGTACATATGATGAAGCATGCCCCCTGCACCTCCCTCCCCTTCTGGATCCACAGTGTTTGTTAGTTTGTACTTTAATGCCGCACTCACCAATATTCCTGCTATAAAACAGTGGTTTATAAATAATCAAGTCTGGACCAGACAATCCAGTGACTGACATCATGAGCAGCCATCTATGCAATTGGGATACGATGACATGCATCAACCAAGTCAGCGTGTCTGACCACGTTGTTCTGTTAGTCACCTCCAAGACAAGCATGGATTGCTGACCAAATTCCCAAACCAATTCTAACCCGGGTCTTCATGTCATGGATAAAACAAGATTCACAGTTTTACATTTTCAACGAAAACCGAGGAAGAGTGTTTTATCCTCCTTATCAATAGTCTTCATGCAAGACATTCCAGAAAATATAAGAGAACATTGGGTAACCTTATGGTGAAACAATACAATGGAATAAAAGGAATTTGATCAAAGTGTGCGAGAAAGATCCTGTGCTTTATGCATACAACTGAAGTCATGACATGTTAAATTGAACAACCTATCACCTAGGTCTTACAATTTAAATGTAAAACCTCTGCGCAGGTCTCCCTTGAAAGTAGTAACTCTCACAAGGTTACCATAAGATAGGATTGGTTGGTTGGTTGGTTGGTTGCTTGCTTAATGCCGCACTCAGCAATATTCCAGCTATATGATGGCGGTCTGTAAATAATCGAGTCTGGACCAGACAATCCAGTGATTAATATCATGAGTATTGATCCACGCAATTGGGATCGAAGACATGCATCAACCAAGTCAGCGAGCCTGACCACCTGATCCCGTTAGTCGCCTTTTACGACAAGCATAGTCACCTGGGTTGCTGAAGACCTTTTCTACCCCGGAATCTTCACGGGTCTATAAGATAGGAAGACACCTACAATACAAAAGGCAAAAGTGGCATTGATCCACAGTGACCTCCTTTAATGTCTGACACTGTGAAGCAAAGGATACTCAGCGGATGCAGAGCCCCTGGTGCCGATACTGAAGTTGTCGATGAAGCGGACTGTTCTGCTCTCAAGGGGCACTGTGGTTCCTCCTGACTAGATAAATGAAAAAGGGATAAATTCCACAAGATGGTGGGTGGATTGTTTGGGAGGGAGTAAGAGAGTGTGTAGGTCTGGGTGGAAGGTGGAAGAGTGAGTGAGTGAGTGGATGGGAGGGTGAGTGAGTGGGAGAGTGAGAGTGACTGGGTGAGTGAGTGAGAGAGTGGGTGAGTGGATGGATGGGAGAGTGGGTGAGTTGATGGGCGGGAGAGTGAGTGAGAGAGTGAGTGAGTGACTGGGTGAGTGTGTGGGAGAGTGAGTGACTGGGAGAGTGAGAGTGACTGGGTGAGTGGATGGATGGGAGAGTGGATGGATGGGAGAGTGGGTGAGTGGATGGGTGGAAGAGTGAGTGAGTGGATGGGTGGGAGAGTGTTTGTTTGTTTTTTGTTTAACGCCACACTCAGCAATATTCCAGCTATATGACGGTGGACTGTAAATAATCCAGTCTGGACCAGACATTCCAGTGACTGACATGCAGTTGGGATACAATGACATGCATCAACCAAGTAAGCGAGCCTGACCAGCTTATCCTGTTAGAGGCCTATTACAACAAGCATAGTGGCCTGTGGAGAGTGAGTGGATGGGTGAGTGAGTGGATGGGTGAGTTTTAGACAGGCAGCACATGTGAAACAAGAAATTAAGTAAAAAGCAAAGGTAAGAGATATGTAACTTATAACATATCCCTCTGGTGAGACATGTGACAGAGTAATCATAGTATCATAAGCATACAGTGTTAGAAATTGGCACTAGTCCTGTAGTCCTTGCCAAACTGCCTCATAGTTAAGGTATCATAAGGACTATTAGAAATTTGACCTTTTTAAGGGGTTACCTATATGTTATCATTATAAGGACTAGTGGACTAAAACTGTTAGTTTCTACCACTGGCATAACATATTTTTTTGCAGTATGATATGTTTATGTGACAAGTTGATTAATGTTAAAACATGCATGGAAACAAGAGTGTGTCCATTGTGACGCCTTGATCAAAATGATAATTATGATGTCTGCTTATGCCGGCCAGTTGACTTGAAAATGGTTTGTACAAGATGACTAGCCAAACGATGAAGTATCCTGGTTTTGTGTATCCCCTCTTGTCCTACCGGGGATTTATCCAGAAAACTAAACTAAGTGCTTCTGGCATGCAAATTTGGGATGAAAATTGTTATTTTGTTCAAAATTGCGATTTTTAAAAAAGTTCTTGTGTTCCTTAATTCAGAGGTGTTTTGGCATTGTATTTTGATACTGCAATGAAAAAATATATAACTAAGCATTAAAATCTCTTTCAATTTATTGGTCTTGTAATCAATGACAAACAGGTTAATCTATATATAGCAGCCCTGAGTGGTTTATTCTCCCTGCAGTGTTTTACAGTACGATAAACAATGACCATGGGTCGTTTATTTCTCATATGAGATACTGGTATCAACATTATGTACAGCCTCTTTAAGGATGTTGATGAAATGTAGAAGCTTTAAAAATATACTACCAAATTTTAATAATGATGACTCCCTGAATAGAATCCGACCTCGGAAATGTCGGACAAGACCATTTTACGAACAGGTGGATAAGTTTGGTATTTCCTGCATATTCGCCTATCTCCGTGTCGATTATCTGTACCTTTTCTCCTGATACCGATTGTCATATCTCTCCCACTTTTGGATGAGATCATTCAGCCACTGCGTTTATCTACATAGCCCCGCTACATATATGGGGAACAACTTACTAGACACTTCCCTCTCAAAAATAATGTTGTCCATTATGTAACGTCATCCATATATACTCAACAACAAAAGTTCCTGTGACACCAGTATTTTAGTGTATTTTTCAAACAAGTTTGGATTTCAATATTGTAGTACATGTATGGCATCAAGTCACAAAAAACGCAACTGTTACAGAAAAGCATGCATTCCATGCAAAAGTTTACTTTTATGCAAGCCCCATGCATTTCACTACCCAAGAATGGGTATGAAAACATACCGATTTATGGGATTCCATATGCATTGTTTAGCATCGTGCTGACAACAACCACTCAGAAAAACAACAAAATTACGCAATTATTCAACATTACGAAATGCCACGCCTGTCCAAAAATGAGCGTTTGTGAGCCACTTGTATACTTGAAGCAGGATCGAGTCAATGTGATGTTGTCTTTTTTAATGTCCACAGAAACACCATTTGGTGTTAATGGCAACGTTGGCAACAGACGAATGCAGTCAGAGACCGACAGACCATCCTTGGAGTGGCAAGCTACACGTAACCAATAATCAACAAGACAACTGGATTCGAACAACACACCTACGAAATCGATTCCAGCCAGCAACAGTGACTGCAAGAAGCATCCCTGGTCTTCAACGAATATCTTCACAAACCGTACGTCATTGCCTCAGATGTGCAGGGATTATCGCCAGAAGACCCGCAAGACGTCCCATTTGGACACAAAACCACAGTCAAGCACGTCTACAGTGGTGCAGACAGCGTCCATTTAGTTGGGACAAGTTCTATTTACCGACGAGTCTCGTTTTCACCTCAGCCACAGCGATGGACGGATTCGAGTGTACCGACCTCCAGGTGAACGTTACGTCAATCATTGTGTCATGGAAGAAGATCGGTTCGGGGGCGGCAGCGTTACGGTATGGGGTGGGATTACAGCAAGACAGAGGACCCGTTTGATAGTGGTAGAGGGAAATCTCAATGGACAGCGCTACCGCGACGAGATCATCGGCCCTGTTGTTCTTCCGTTTTGGCGTCGTCATGGCCCAGGCATTACCTTTCAACATGACAACGCCCTGCCTCATATTGCTCGACTTGTTCAGGATTCTCTTAAAAACAACAACGTGAATGTCATCCCCTGGCCGGCTCGCTCCCCTGATCTCTCACCAATCGAGCACATGTGGGATGAGATGGATCAGCGCCTTCTACGTCAACCACGTGTTCCACAGATACTCCAGGAACTTCAAAACATGCTCCAGCAGATATGGACAGATATCCAATAGGACTTTGTGCGATGCCTGGTCTATTCCATGGGACGAAGATGTGTTGCTTGCATCGCAACCAGAGGTGGACACACACGCTATTGATTTGTAAATTGACATTTTGGCATTTTCATGTTTTTTATGAAATCACACATTTTCTGAAGTCAGTATGGCAAATTAAACCATTTGAACACTTACAGGAGTCTTTTATCTGTTGCAAACCGAAATTGTTTCAGATTTGGTATTAAACATAACTTGGCATAAATCTTATTCAATGTCACAGGAACTTTTGTTGTTCAGTATATATAAGGCATAGGACATATTTTTTTATGGGACATTTTTAATTCTAATTTGGGAATTTATCAGCAGGTCTAGAAATATTCCTGTCTACAGTAGCACTCTTTCTATCTTACACATAGTAATTGAATATTCTTTATTGTTATAAAGATATGAAATAAATGTTATGACTGCTTCACAATGAAAACCACAAAGATTTGCTTGTTTATGAAGGAGGAACAATCTATGGCGTGGGCGATGTATGTGTATGTGAGCGTTGTTATGGAAGAAACGTGGATGAAAATGGATGTATAATTTCCACTTTAATGGACACACGTGAAAAGGATAAATTTCACCATGTTAAGGAAAAGTGATTTTATGAATGCTTCATCAAATATATCCACGAAGTATCGCAGATGCGATTTATGCCCCTTTATATAATCCAAAGTTCATGCGCTGAAAGATCCATGTTCCATCTTTAAATATGACACTGCTAATAGAACATGTCAACAGAACATGTACTCAAAACGATCTATTTTCAACAGTTACGAACATTCTCTACATAAACAGTAGGGCCTAGTTTCAATTCAAAATCCGCATGTGGAAATACGGACTGCACGTGAAAGTAGTACATTGGATTGATACTCACTGATACAAGGACCACCCTGTTCCCGATCGCACTGTGTTTGGATACAAATTCCCTCATATGCTCGTATTTGTCATTGAACCTTTCCGGCACTGCTGTTTGTGCGAAGAAATCATCTTGATTTGTTGATGCCGCACTCATGATTCGTCTTTTGCAAAAACCCTGTTCCTGTAAACTTTCAACACTGTATGGCCACTGACAACACTGCGAGCGAGTCCGCAACCTCGTAGCAAAGAGACACCGTTAATATGTAAAACACGAACAGCGCAACGAAACACGATTGCTTGATTTAAATACACATGGTATTGCAACAGCTGTGCACAATTTAATATGTAGCATTCTAATAAAAATTCGCTGTTTTACCCAATAAACGATCTCAATGAGTACAAGGTATTATATTGCTTGTACATGCAGAAATATGTTTTATCCAATATGAAATACTAAATGTAAATTTTAACAAGAACTCGTTGTTGTTATTATCAATATTGAGACATGATTATTTTTAAATAAATAGATATATTGAGATGGATTGATGGATGAATAAACGACCAGTGGACCCTGCGCAGTAGAACAAGCGTCGTTGACCATGTGCAGGGTTGACTGAATCAACATATAAAGATTCAGTCAACCCTGCACATGTTACAGTGTTTGAAATGAAATATACTACAGTTGGTTCACGTAGACATATAAGAACGAATTAATTATTCGTTATTAAAACATATGTTGTTTGTTTGCCATACGTGAAGGTGGAGTGTGTGCGTGTGTGCGTGTCTGTGTGTGTATATATACACTCCAATCTTTTTTGGGCGGTCGGGTAGCCTAGTGTTTAAAAGCGTTCGCTCGTCAGACCGAAGACCCGGGTTCGATTCCCGACATGGGTACAATGTGTGAAGCCCATTTCTGGTGTCTCCCGTCGTGATATTGCTGGAATATTGCTAAAAGCGGCGTGCAACCGTACTCACTCACTCACTCCACACTGTCTATCCATCTATTCCACTGTATGCATACATCCTATACCTATCAACCTGTTTTACAGTAAAACATTCGTCTTTACATATTTTTATTGTACTAGAATATGTGTAGTTTCCATAACACAGCATCTGATTTAACATATATCTAATTTAAGAATGATCTTAGAAACCCCGGGGCGGTCGGGTAGCCTAGTGGTTAAAGCGTTCGCTCGTCACGCCGAAGACCCGGGTTCGATTCCTGACATGGGTACAATGTGTGAAGCCCATTTCTGGTGACCCCCGCCGTGATATTGCTGGAATATTGCTAAAAGCGGCGTAAAACCATACTCACTCACTCACTCTTAGAAACCCACAAAACAATTTTTATCATGCGCATGTTGATCGTTTACAAGTATGTTTAAGTAAGGATAAGAATTTATGTATGAACAACTACTTTGTTACAACCATGCGCGACGTGTCGGTGTTAGAACCTACACCGAAACGTCGCTCTTAATTGTAATAAAGAAGTTGTTCATCCATAAATTCCATCCTTACTCTAACTTCTAAATGCTTCAAAAGAAGTTACAAGTATGTTTGTATATTTTTGTTTATGCCACGCTCAGATATAGTCCAGCTACATGAGGGCGGTCTGGAAATAATTGAGTCTGGATCAGGCAATCCAGTGATTGATATTAGTAGCATCGATCTACGCAATCCGGTAAGAACATAAAATCAACCAATTTTTGTAAGTTACGCACGCGCACGCCCTTACGAACGAACACACGCACGCACGTCCGAAATCCCCGCGAGTGAATAAGTACATGTATATTCTCGTAATACTTCACATGGTTTCTTAAACAAATACTAGAATGCAATATTCAAACCTGTATTATTTAAATATTCCTGTGAGGAAACGTTTGGCAACATCCTATTTTTATGGTGATGTACATCCGCGGCTTCATATAGTAACAGTAGACATTATATTCTGACAATCATATCACAATATTCTATATATTTATTTAAATACACACGAGAGGACTGCAGTTTTACAATAGAACAATAAAAAAACTTTATGTCGAATACGTTATCAAAAGCTGTGAGTGTGGCTCATCATTCCAGAGACTTGCTCAACCACAGTACGTCAGTGATTTATTGTAGCAATATCACAAGTGAGTGAGTTGGGTTTAACGCCCCCTTTAACAGTATTCCAGTTACATCGCGGCGTGTCAGCTTAATGTAGGAGGAAAGCCCGAAGTGATGCAGGTCTCAGACGTTTACCACTTCGGTGAAACCCACGAGCACGGGTATGGTGCTGACAAACCTAGAAACTTAATCGGGGCAAACCGGGATTCGAACCCACAACCATAGGTTTCTGGCATGCAGCAATATCACAAAACGGGATCGAGATAAGAATGGGATAGGATGGAGTTTCAAGAATAATTCTATTCCAGAATCTGTAAATAAAAGCGACAAAACCCTTTCGATGCCAAAAGGAGAGTCCATTGTATGATTCCGACTATATCATGAGCATGAGGTGAAATGGGGTTTTCAACGTCGCGTTCAAGATTATTGCACTTATATAGCTACGTGCATGCACGTGTGTGTGTGTGTGGCTGCTTGTACATGTACTAGCTAGTAAGGTTCGTCAATTCGCTGTCTAGAGTTGCGTCCCTTGAGGACCTCAGAAACCTATGATTGTGGGTTCGAATCCCGGTTCGCCCCGATTATGTTTCTAGGTTTGCCATCACCATACCAGTGCTCGTGGGTTTCACCGAAGTGGTAAACGTCTGAGACCTGCATCCAATATGTTTTAAACGCCGTGCGATAACTGGAATACTGTTCAAAGTTGCGTTAACTATTTACGTTTAATTCGATTATCCTTAAAGTAGTATCAATTATTCTACATTTATACCAGAAGCCAAATAATATACCACCTGTAACCAACTTGTACGATAATACTTATACGCATCATATTGCACAGTGTCGTGTGTCATGTGTCATGATATGTCATGATTCTCAGAGCTATCCCGCGGTGTACATGCATATAATGTCGCCATGCACCAGCGCATATCAACAATCTGGGGAACAACGCTATCTGTATGTTAATGTAACATTCTTATTTCCTTCTGAGCCCAGTTCCCTGCTACGTCACAAATATTGACAGACAAGCTGCAGGAAGACTATATAACTATATATATATAACTATTTACAACAAATTTCAATGTATTTGTTTTTTGTTTGTTGCTTAACGTCGCACTCGGCAATATTCCAGCTATATGACGGAGCTGTATAAAATCGAGTCTGGACCAGTCAATCGGGTGATTGAAATCATGAGTCAGTAGGTAGGTAGGTAGGTTTTCTGTTTGTTGTTTAAATGCCGCACTCAGCAATGTTCCAGCTATATGACGGCGGTCTATAAATAATCGAATCTGGGCCAGACAATCCGGTGACTGACATCACGAGTGTGTATGTGTGTGTGTGTGTGTGTGTGTGTGTGTGTGTGTGTGTGTGTTTGTGTATGTATATGCACGTTAGTGCGCATCTGCAATAGGGAGATAAACATTACCGAGAATAGAGGAACAAGCACTTCAAACCATTTCCTCTTATTGTTGTGACACTCGTGAGCCCCAGTAGTAGACCTTGTCTGTATTGCCGCCGTTCACACAATACCAGCGGCTTATCATAGCGCTGTTTAGGCCCCTGAGAACCATCTCACCAACAGCTCATAAGTTGTAACTCGTGTAAGCCTATATACTTGTACTTTTGAAACAATGTCTGAAGAAGTCAATCTTGCCTCTAGCGATTTCCAATCAATCGAAGGACTAAACGAAGAACTTGGAGCAAAGGCAGAAAAACAGAAAAGCACCGGCGATGATGACCAAGCACAAGGGGACAGGGTAAGTGTGTGAGTCGTGTTTTACTAAGTGGTAATTGCACGTGCGTGAGCAAGTGAATACGTTTTTTACGCCGCAGTCAGCAGAATATTCCACAATATCACGGCGACCTGGAAATTATCGACTCTGTACCAGGGAAACCTGTGCCAGAAAAAATGGACACAGATCCACGTCACTAGGGTACAATTTCACGCACTCGTTCAAATAAATTCATTTCCATTTCTCGTGTCTGCCGTCGTGATTTTACCGGAATATTGCTAATAAGGGCATATCATCCATACTTAGTCACTATTCTTAGTGCACGTGCCATTCGATACAGGCACCCGAGTAAAGGAAAATGAATAAATTTCAAGACGTCAACACCAGAGAATAACCAGTCTCGATTATCCGCCGAACAGATTCCATTGGGAACAAAAGGCAAAATAGCGGTGAAAATTGTATGAATGGATCACTGAAAGTGAGTGATCGTGAAAAGGGTAAGCGTGTCGTGAATTATCAGCGGCCCGACGGCGGCCTGTAAAGGTTACACACAACCAAATGTTTTCCCATAGACTTCTATAGTAACGTTATATTTTTTTTAAAAATAACTAAGCATTCAACAGCTATTACCTGTACGTGTGTGCACAGTTTGGCCTTAGAGCAGCAATAAAAACATAAAAAATGACTAGCTTATCCAGCTCCTTTTCCGAGTACAGGAAGCTAAACACACCACCCCCAGTTTCGCACCAAATGTCACCTACTTGAAAACAGCTGTGGTCACATTCAGCATAAGTCATCATGTTGAAAAAGACAGTACTAAATATAGAAACACATGGTCAGTTTTAATAACTGTTTGGATGTATATTTGAAAGACATAAACATCTTACAGAATATCCTCCAATCACAGCCTGCAGATTTCTCTCGATCTGCACTGAAGGCTCCCTACGTAAATCGCACTGTCCAAACTAAACCAACCTGACAGTCTTGACCATCCAATCAAGTCGGTGTTCAGTCGGCCCTGACGACAGTAATAGGCGATTTTAACTGACCAGGAAACGTCATTTGCATGACGTCATATGGTCAAATAACACTATGTCTTCGTTTGTTTTCAGCTTACATTGAGGAACAGAGCAGTAGATAAGGGCAAGAAGATCATTGTCTTTCTCGTTCCCATATTTGCCAGTGTGATAGTGAACATCATAGCTGGGTTCTTCTACATGTCGTTCCTGTTCGTCGTCCAGATTGTTGTTACAAGGGCATTCGATGAAGATGGAGAGATGGTCACTAAAGTACAAAACACATTTAGGGTGTTTTCTGCGCTGGCAAGTATGTTGTGCTAATTGTGATATTAAACTGTCCCCTCAAGGTGTACGTTTTTCGTGTTTTTTTGTAGGGATCTTCCTTGTTTGTTTCCTTGTTTGTTGTTTAACGCCGCACTATTCCAGCTATTTGACGGCGGTCTGTGTCTGAACCACACAATCCAGTTATTGACATCATGAGCATCGATCCTCACAAAGTCAGCCAAGAAAGCGAGCCTGACCACCCGATCGCCTCTTACGACAAGCATAGTTGCCTTTTACGGCAAGCATGGGTTGCTGAAGACTTATTCTACCCCGGATCTTCACGCGTCGACATACATCTATAACATTATTACGTATATAATTATGCATGATGTATATCTGTTTATTTGTTGTTTAACATTATGACAGCGGTCTGTAACTAATCGATTGATATCATGAGCATCGATCTACGCAATTGGGATACGATGACATGCATCAACCATTCCCGTTAGACGCCTTTTACAGCAAGCATGGGTTGCTGAAGACCTGTTCTACCCCGGATCTTCACAGGTCTGATGTAGATCCACAAATACATGTATACATATTGATAAACAATAGGTTTCTGTCTATTTGGAACTTCACAGTCGGTCCAAATATTCTCATGGCCATACCCACAAGTGTCGTTCTAGTATGTTGTTGACGTTGTTGGACTGTTATACACCAGTATAAGTAGTTATCGGGTGGTAAGAGCTGCATTTTATCATAATACATGATAATTTATTTTCGCCGGAATACGAAGATGAATGAAATATGGTTATATTGCACATCTGTGGTTATTCCAGCTACTCGGGGGCAGTGGTGGTAGTGGTCAAAGGCGCCGCGATTCCCTGTGCAGAGATGCGTCCCTTGGGCACGCCGGAAACCTATGATTGTGGGTTCGAATCCCGGTTCGCCCCGATTATGTTTCTAGGTTTGTCAGCACCATACCCGTGCTTGCGGGTTTCACCGAAGTGGTAAACGTCTGAGACCTGCATCACTTCGGGCTTTCCTCCCACCTTAAGCTAACACGCCGTGATATAACTGGAATACTGTTGAAAGCAGCGTTAAACCCAACTCACTCACACACTCACTCACTCACTCACTATTTCAGCTGCTTCCTGTGCGCCGCTTATGATCAGATACGGCTTCCGGAAGGTCGCCCTGGGCGGAAGTGTTCTACTCATCTTTTCCTGTATCTCGTCGTCATTGACAACCACAGCTGACATTCTGACTATACCATATGGATTTATGGGAGGTATGTGTTAGCATCGCCCCTTATATACACGTCACATTATTTTTTCATTAGTCAGTGATTTTTAGACAAAGCGGTGTACGGTGCACAGCTTGAAATGATATACCCCCGTTGTTATGGTAACATACATTTTGCCGATAAATTCGTTTTAGGCTATACTAGCGTCTTTCACCCAAACGGCGTCGCATTATGTGTACCACTATTGACCTTAGACGTGTTGGATGAACAAAGCCGAAACAGAAACAAACTTTTGTATTTTACACGGGATTGAAGAAATAGTTTCTTTTGTCAATAAAACGATATAGGGCACATAGACGGATATACTTTTTCTCTCTATAATTTCCCCCTTTCTCTTTCGCCTACCATTCTGTATCCCTATACGTTCGGCTAATATTATAATTATATCAATTGTTATTGAAAAACTGCTTTAAATGTTTATCCTGACTAAGTATCATACGGAATCTTTGTAAGGCATTGCTTTGGGCCTTCTACGGACTACTGGTTTGGTGGCCACCATCGACTACCTCAACACTCGCCCAGCTCTCGCTCTCTTCATCAGCGTCATCAGCTTCGTCATTGGGAACATCATCGGCATCATTGTCATCATCTTCGACTTGATTCAATATCTGGACAGTAGACGGAGGTGGTCCAACGTCATGAGAGTGTTTGAGATAACGGCTGTGATAGGACTTCTCGCTGGTAGTTTTCTGCAGAAGAACTCACAGACCCAGCAGAATGTGCCCAAGCTCTTCAAACATCCACCTTTTTATTTCCTCATATGGATTAGAGTTGCCGCTTCGGTTGGTAAGTTTTTCCCCAGTAAACTACGGTTATTTCGAACTCAAAGGGACCAGTAATTTTAGTTTGTTATAACCGTAGTTCGTTATAAGAATATATACACAATATATACAGCAAATGCCCTGGACCAAAACATATGTTCGTTCTATCCGTCAGTTCGCTACAAGCGTGTTCGTTATTAACGTAGTTTACAGTACAACACATTTCAAATGATCTTCTCTCCTAACTGTGTCGTGGGTTCTAATCGGTGTTCTTTGTGAATCCTGGTTGACATCCAAGTGTTGTCCAAGTAAACCCGATATAATCTGCGTCATTTGGCCTGCGTGCCGTCATGTAACTGAAATACATTTTGAAGGACCCAGTCATCTCATTGGATTCTGAGGAGGACAATAGCCACTACCTCTCTATGCCGAAGTAAACATGGATTTAGCTGCGTTTTGAAATCTTTGATGAGCGTTTTAGAAGTTGGAAGAACATGGCAATTTTTATAGATAACAACTTATTTATCCTTGTGACGATGTTTCTGAGCTACTTCTTGCCCATTCACCCAAAGTAACCATGACACATAGTTGCAAAAAGTTCCATAAAAAAAGTTTCATGTCTTCTTTTATTTGTGTTGTTGCCAACATGTTGTCTCTAAAGAAACGGGGCGGTCGTGTAGCCTTGTGGTTTAAGCGTTCGCTCGTCACGCCCAAGACCCGGGTTCTATTCCCGACATGGGTACAATGTGTGATGCTCATTTCTGGTGTCCCCCGCCGTGATATTGCTGGAATATTGCTAAAAGCGGCGTAATACCACACTCACTCACTCACTCACTCTAAAGAAACCATCGTATAGCTGGAATACTGCACTGCGACGTTAACAGACGCTAACGATTCGAAGATTTTACGTACTATAGTTGAACCTACTAGTCGATATTTACATGAAGCTTTATACTGTTATGGTTGTCGTATAATACATGCATACAGGTGTTCCATAATTAATAATAACACTTATGGATTTAATTTTATCACAACAGGATTGTCAATTCTCCTACCGTCGGCTCAACTCATCCCTTCTGTAAGAGGCTTCAACACAAGCTTGGCTAGCACCATTTTGTATTTCGTCCTCTTCGTCAGTCAGTTGATCGTGCTGATTGTTCTGCTGATCATCCGAAAGTTCCAGAGAGAAAATCTTAAAAAGTCAGCTCTTTTATCGATGGGAATCCTGATCTTAGTTATCGGCCTTGGCACCATGGTCCACCAGGTGGCGTTTGTTAACATTTGGGTTGTAGGAGTTTTTGCCTTGGTGCTGGGAACCGTGACTGGTTCGTGTTATCTCGTTGTACATCATATACACTATACACTGTATTTGTATGTTTCATCTCCAAACTGTATGAATTTATATTGATGCAGCTTGTAGGACATCGTTTCAACCCCCAAAGTGACAAGCGAGTATTATATGCATCTCTTCGGCGCCTCACTTTTCACTTTTTCCCACATGAAGCTGCAATACTGCGGTTTAATTGGTGTTAAACCCAACCCACTCACTCACTTATTCTAGGTTTGCCCATGCTCGCGGGTTTCACCTAACTGATACAAGCGTGAGACCTGCATTACTTTGTGCTTTCCTCCCACACCATGCTGACATGCCGTGATATAACTACGGTATATAAATACTGTTTACAGAGACGTAAGGGGCGGCGGGGCAGCCTAGTGCTGAAAGCGTTCGCTCGTCACGCCGTAGGCCAGGGTTCGTTATCCCACATTGGTACAATGTGCGAAAACCATTTCTGGTGTCCCCGCCGTGATATTGCTGTAATATTGCTAAAGGCAGCGTAAAACCACACTCACTCACTCACTACACAGATGCAAACCCTCCATCACTTACTCACATTTTAGCGATGTGTTTTGTCTGATGAACCACAGTGAATGAGGTACCTGAAGACTTGTGATTTGTATTCATATTACAGCGTTCGCTCAAGTAATGATGCCACTGGCGTTGGTCCACGCCACGGGAAGAAGCAACTTGAAACTCTCCCTACCAATGCTGGGATGCTTTGAAGAGGTGGGGGGACTTGTAGGCGGCTCTAGCATGGGTATGTTGTACTGCTTGGTACTGATACACGATCTCGTTATCCTTTATTTAAGGAAATGTAATAAGTAGATGTTGGTGTTCTTGTAACAAACATGACCGATTCAATGCCGATTTGTCTTGTGCTTTCTCTGGTGAACCTTCAGGGCTCTTGGAGATTCCAACTTTGAATTAGTGCCCATCAGTATAGGCTTGCCGTTAGAGGCTACTATAAGGATTGAGTGGTCGCACTCGGTGACGGTTGACTGCGTTTCATCGTACTCCATTGGACCAGTGCCGTAGCCAGCCGGGGGGCAGGGAGGGCAGTTGCCCCCCTAGATTTTTTTAATATAAAACAGTTTTATTTGAATCAAGTTGGGGACAAGTGATACTTGTACAAATATTTGCCTCCCCTGTAAAAAAAAGTTAACTACGGCCTTGATTGGACGTTGTTCATAACATCAATTACTGGTTTATCGACCGAGTTATACAATAAATGAATAAACAAACAAATAAACAAAACAATCTGTTTTCTATTTTTTACTTTATTTTCAATTCACCATGATCACATGAGCTTTTAACATGACAATACTCTATATATTCGAGTCTTTCTCGTGTTCATAAAGCGTCCTGTCTGTGTTTGTCATTTTAGCAAAAATCATAAAAGAAACATCCTCTGTAAATGGAGCCTTGTATTTTGCTGGAGTGTCCCTGATCATTGCCGGAGTTGGTGCCATCATTGCATGGGTGCTGATAAAACGCTGGCCCCCTCTCAGTGATGTGGCTGTCTCCCGGGCTTTTGTGAGGGGCGTCGAGAACGCTGGCGAGGAGGAGGAGGAGGCTGAGGACACCGGAGAGGACACTGGCAATGGCGAGACTGCTGGGACCCAGTAGCTGGTGTTTCACACGTCGATTGTGAAACATGGACAGCTTGAAACTCTATCTCGGATATCTGCGACACTGGATACATTGTTGATGTTGATGTTAGTATTGCAAATGCCAGAATGTCTGTTATGAAGACAAGCGAGTTGAATATTGAATAATTGTTATCATTGCGTCAACGATGTTGGTTTGTTCACGGCTATGATGATGAAAGATAGTGATCTTGAATTTTAATTTTTTGTTTGCAAAACCTAAAACAATGATATACAGTCATGCACCTGCTTGAAAATATAAAAAAATATGCTTTGAAAATCAACTCGAATGTTTGAATAAAAAGGTTTTCATTTGAAAAAGAATTCACGTTTTTTCATGTAACACTTGATTGAAAAACAATATACACACGGCGCCTTTTATCAAATACAAAGAATACAACTGCAAGAATGCATGCATCAACACAAGGTTTTGCACGAAGTAATCGTGCCTTCGATGAATCTTAACATATATGATAAACTAACAAACACCATACCTAAGTCTAAGTCAAATTATCATATGTTTAAAATCAAAACATATTTAGGATTAAGTATTTGAATGACATTTAGAAGTGATATATATAAGAATGTGCATACATACACATACGGGAATGTATGGATGTCAACTTTATTATGAGGAATACAACGTTTCGGAGTATATACCTACTCCTTCATTGGGTGAATAAATGCTGTGAAGCAGAGAACATATATATGTACCTATGAGAACAACAAAAATAATAAAATAACAAAAGTGCAAACTTCACAAGGGAAGCCAACAGTTAATTGGCGCTAATAGGTGATTAGTAATGGAGAAATTGAAGCCGGGTTCTAATCCGGGGATCTGGAGGGCCAAGGGAGAACATCAACGTTGTTGTGTAGACAGGCTCTTGTGACCCGTGTTGTATGCGGTCGAGCGTTGTCCTGTTGGAATACACCGTTGCCGCTGGCTACAATTTGGAGGACGTGCGGTAGAATAATGTCGTTGGTGTATCATTGAGTCGTAAGATTGCCCTGGATATGGACCAAACCTGTCCTGCCATGATGAGAGATATCCATCCACATCATAACGCTACCCCCACCAAACCTGTCCACTTCCTGAACGCAGTTTCCGCGTAACTTTCTCCCCGACGTCAGTAGACCCGTGCTCTTCCACCCCCTCGACGGAGGAGAAATCTTGATTTGTCGCTGAACCAGACATATCTCCATCGCAGTTGAGGCCATACCCTGTGTTGACGACACCAATGCAGTTGTTGTTGACGATGTTGTCGACTCAATATGACGCGTCGAACAGGACGTCTTGTTCGTAGACCTGCTACTCTTACGGTTTCGTACGGTATGGTCGGAGATTCTGCTCAATCCAGTTATTTGGGATGTGGTTGAGGTGTGGTTGTCCTTTCACGTAGGTGGCACAGTCGGATGTAGCCATCTTCGGCGGGGGTGGTTACTCTTGGTCGTCCCGACCTTGTCCAATCACGTGTTAACCCATGCTGCTGAAAAAAATCCCATAGCTTTGTGATGGTGCTGGGCGCTTCATTGAAAACCCTGGCTACAGCTGATCGGGATTCCCCTGCCTGCAAGCGGCCTATGACGTTATCTCTTTGCACTTCTGTTAATGCTGGCATTTTGTTGAACTGTTACTGTTCGATTGACGCAGATGCCAGGCAATCAAAAACCCTGCATTTTAATATCGTTCTTCTAGCTACTGCATTAACGCATTAAACATCTTCATTTTGCACCTCTTGGTCCGCTAATTTTGCTTTTATAGCCAAAAGGAAATCCGTGTTGCGTTTCTCTTTTTGAAGAGTACATTTGATTATTATTCCTTGAACAATCTTAATGTTTGCAAGTGGAAGATGGATAGCACGCCTTAATATGTCTACCAGATTCACGTTCTATATTCTTCTAGATGTGTTAGCACCATCCAGGTAAACGTGTAAACAAAAGGAGCAAAAGGTCACTAGCCTAGCAGGATAAGTTTAAATTTCTGTGTTTGTAGCCCTGGGAACCTTTCCCCCAAATTAGAACAGTTAGATTTGCCCGAAATATGTCCGAATTGTTACCTTGTTTCGTTTTGTCGCTGTGTGACCACACTTCGTAACGTTATGACAGGACAGGTCGACTCCTAGCGAACAGGGAAGTAGAAACAATTTGTGTGGGCAATTGTTGTTTTGCCTATATTTAGCGACGCCACTGTATAAGAAACAGGTTTCAGTTTGACCCATATTGACTGTTGTCACAGTCTGACTGACTGACACATTACTTACCTTCTTACCATTGATATATATATATATATATATATATATATATATATATATATATATATATATATATATATATATATACATACATGTATCAATGCGCACATTCAAGGACAACTTGCAATGTTATGGAATAAACACTATGTATTTAGCCAAGGCTCGCTAAATACAATGTTTATTCCTAAAAGAGGATATTTACCATCCTCAAGCACATTCGTGTGATAACCTCTATATATCCACTTTTACAAACAATATATACTGAACCGCAAAAGAAACGTCACCATGTATAGATATATAGATATATGAGAAACCTTTTTTGTCCAAACACTGTAAACATACTTTGAGACATATTAAAAAGATGAAACTTGGTAAAGCTGACCATCAAGGTTGAAATTAAAGTGTCAGATGTTCTTAAAGTGAAACACAACACTAGTCTCTGAGACAATGGCATCACAAGTCAGTATCACGAGTGTCCGCCATGTGCATTGATGACTGCCGTGCAGCGTCGATATATGGAATGGATGAGGCGGTTGATGAAGGCCATAGGCACTTGAGCCAACACTCTGAGGAACGCCTGGCGCAGTTCAGCTGCAGTTGTCGGTCTTGGTCATTCAGCCGTCTTTGAATCTCGTGCCACAGGTGCTCAATAGGATTCAAATCGGGACTGAGGGCAGGCCATTGCATGGTTCTGATGCCATTCTGGTGGAGGAAGTCTCTTGTTGGTCTCGCAGTGTGGGCACGGGCGTTATCATGCTGATAATCGTGGTTGCGGCGACGTGCCAAATGAGGTATGGCGTGTGGTCTCACGACTTGATCAATGTACCGAGCTGCTGTGATACCATTGCCTCTCCCTGGACCGATGTTCTAGAAGACGCACAGGGTCGACCCTCTGTGCAAGACCAATTCCACTCCACACCATGTTGCTTGGACCACCCCACGAGTCTCTTTCAACAACACAAGCATCCGATTAACGTTCACCTCTCTCTCTCTCTCTGCCATCTGCTGTTGAGATACAGTAACGGCTCGCGTCTGAGAAGAGGACTCTTCTCCACTGTTGGTGGCGCCAATGCTGGTGCTGTGTTGCCCATTGAAGACGGTCCCGGCGATGACGTGGTATCAGAATGGGTCCTCGGTGTGGCCTGTCACAGTGGAGGTTTCTGCTCGTCAATCGTCGAAGCACGGTGTCCGCACTAATGTGTCGCTGGTGTGTCCCCATGGTCTATCGAGCAGTTTCCGCAGCAGTAATAAAGCGATCTTGAAGATGCTGTCGCAAAACCTGACGATCCTGACTTCGGGTGGTGACCCTTGGTCTCCAAAGCGGAACAATAATAATGTCGGTCAAAAATATTTTATAACCTGAAAAGGACAGGAAACACAGATCCATAGAACGCACCTACTTTCCTGCCCTGCACTCCAATCACACGCCCTGTGTCAACATGCATTAATAACCAATTTCCTAAAATTGCAACTTGATTGTGGTTACCATGGAAGCCATATGTACATGTGTACGATATGAGCAGAGAAGAGAAAGACAAATTGTGGAAAAAGGTTTTAAGTTCTTTTTTATCAGTCGTTTATTGCCGACTCCTTTCAATCCATCATTCGGGTTCATGAGAAATAAAGTGTAAAATTCTTGTTTTAAAATGACTTGTTATACTGATTCAATTAAAACCACCATCTGATAATACTAATAGTCATTATCATTCACATGAATTGTCCGATCCTTGGGGTTGAGATTCTTTAACATTCAATTTTGCCAAGTATACAAGACAAAGTAATTATTCAATATCCTTTCCCTGAAAAATCTTTTCAAATTTGCAGGTGGGCGAAAAGTTGACTCACTTAAATAGGGTTACATTGACTTAAATATTTCCTTAAAATGAACAAAAACGAAACTGGAATGAATACACATGAAATACGTCCGGGTACATTTTCGACAGCGAAAAGTAACTATTCATATGAATATTCAACTAAAAACGCCACAATGAAACGTCCTCGAAACACACCGTGGTGTAATGATGTCATTTTGTCGTTCATTGCCTGCAAGTGAGGTGATCAACATACGGTCTGGCTACAAAGAACATATATTACTCTGACGTTACCAACAATGTCGTCTGAATTCAGACCAACTTCTCATCATGAATCCTGTGAAATCTTCTGTACTCCCGATGGACAAGATATCCTGGATGAAAACAGTCATACTGAGCACGAATCCATTGACGAAACTAAATCTACTACCGATAGTTATGCTCGCACTGACCACGACAATCCTGCGTCTGTTGAATATCACTACATTGACGACGTCAACCCAGCCTCTGCCTATCAACAGCTGACAGAAGAACGCGAGTCGAAAGCTGATGATGACTATGAATGCATTTCTGACACCAACCCTGCGTATGATTACCTTGAAGCAATAAACGAGCCACGTACGGTAAGAGTTGAAATTGTATGTTTTTATGGCACAGGTTCCAAAGTTTATTTAAGGATTGACTGTGTATTTGTTTCGGTTCATGTGGCAGATCAACGTCATGCACTTTTAGATTTGTGGGTTTCATTGAGTATTCAATGGCAGGAAATTAAATTTGGAACACTTGAATTGCCTTTGCATGTGTTTGTGACGGGTGCCAGTGGTGGGATAGGATAAGCGGATCTTTTCGCGAACGCCTGGTATCATCACTATTTAACGGTGATTAATAAACACATGCCGGCGGTATCGTCAGAATCGCTCCATGACCTCTCCTTTTAGCAGAGATTTCTTCTGATTAGGGAAAGGGTTTTGTTGCTTTAGACATTTATAAATTGCCCAAGTGATTCACATTTTGCACATTGCCTGTATCATATACACGCTAACAAAGGAAACGACTTGTGAAACCAGTGTCTATCGCGCATCGATTCCCAACCAAGACGTAGGGGAACAAGAATGATTATGCATATGATTATGCTCCAGCAAAAATGCATTATCATTATTACATCCTACCAAAATTTCAGGTGTTTCATATCGGGGCATGTCTTCAAGGTCAGCTGAGAAAGCCCGCGTGACAACTATTTTCATAATGTCCACGGTTCTTAAAAAATACATTGAGTTAGATAACAATGAGCAATCAATCAAAATATTATCGGTTAACCCTTTGAACAAAGCATGTCCTTTTTACATCGGCACTTCACGCCATGCTATGAAAGTATTCCCTTTGCTTTAGTAAACCTAGACATGTAAACACCTACTTTTGACATATCCACTGTGCATGATAACAGTGATTAATCAATCTACGATTTTCTGTTAATCCTTTGATGGCTTGGAATGATACGTTGATTTACAAAAAAGTAAATTAACTGATCATTAATCTCTTGCTGGGCTGCCACGTTCATATTACATAAAACACATTTCACCTCACTTCAAACCTGGATTTAGATTGAATAATTACCCCAGACACCAGAAATGCCAAATGGGAACCTTTATCACTAATTATACCTGTAATAAATTCATTAACTGAGCAGCAAGTGAATGACGACAAATACTCAAGTGTAGAGTATACCAGAAAACGTGGATGGCAACAAGGGAGTAGTAATCTATTATTCACGCAATCCGAAATCCGAAAATGCTTTCACTGCAGGGATGTTTTTTTATATATATATTATTAAACTATAACCATTAGGGGTATTTCCAAATGACGACATCCAATGAGCTTCCGCCGTTCTTTTTGTCTGTTTGTTTAGGTTGAAGATATTAATTAACATGCGCCCTTTGTCGAAATCTTTATAGATCACGGGTAACCAATCCACCCAGCTAACACGAAACTGTTGTAAAAACATCCGTAAAACATTTTACGAAACGTTCCGGAAATTTAAAAAAAAGGTTTCTTCACGTGATTTTGTATGGTTTTAGAAACATTTTCCGGAAACATTTGGTTATAACGTTTCAAGAATGTTTTTGTAAAATATTGCAGAAATGCTTTTGAAAACGTTTTTTTATTCATGTGATTTTGTCTGGTTCTAGAAACGTTTCAAAACAAATTCTGTGAACATTTGATTATATCGTTTCTAAAATGTTTCTGTAAAATATTCCAAAATGCTTTTAGAAACGTTTTATTCACGTGAATTTGTATTGTTCCGGAAACGTTTAAGGAAAGTTTTCTGTGAACATTTGGTTTTAACGTTTCTAAAATGTTTTGAAAACGAACCAGAGTGTTGGTAAAGCTCAGTGTTTTGCTGCCAATGTTCAATACGTAGAACACCCAGTCACTGTTAACAAGATACAAATAGTCGGGGGCAGTACATCCCCCAGGCATGAACTGCAAAAAACACAATACCAATGACGGACATGGTAATCCATGCCATGTCTTCAACATTTAATTAACAAAGAACTTCAAGACTCATTTCTGTGGAGATTTTAATATTTTTAGAAAACTTTTACAACTTTCTTAATTATTGCTTGTCAGAATCTTCTTTCTTTGGTTTTGCCTTGATCAACTTTTCTGAAACATAAAACAAATTCTGAAAAAATCTAAAGCAGGTATTTAATATATATATATAACAGTATCATGCATCACATTGAATACAAAAAGTGGTACACCAGGAACACCCCAACCCACTCTACTGTCAGTGGCTGAGTGCAGATACCAATCCAATTCTAAGCATAAATTTAAAGCCACAAAACCACCAAAAGATACTTGATCAAGTAGCTCATGGTTTTTAACAACAGTTTCTGCACTTACGTTTGCATCATTCACAGCCCCTGGTGTATTTGGTGTAGTCATCAATAACCTAACATTTCCATGTGTAGTTCCTGAAATGCTGTTGTATCCTTTTGCTACTGCAGCGAAAACAAAAATGTTCCACATTATAACAAAGTTATAACCTGAACTATATTCAATAAGCATTATATTGTTAATCCAAAGATGAAATATATTATGTAGGTTCATAACATTATTTTAATTCTGGAAACCCATTTGTCCAGGAACGATCCATGCTGTGGCCAGTTTCGTTCATAGGTATTTCCCAAATTCATCTTTGCTGGTGTGTGTGTGTGTGTGTGTGTGTGTGTGTGTGTGTGTGTGTGTGTGTGTGAGAGATACCTCAAATTCAGAAGGGTAAAATAAATATCCATGATAGTTTGAGTTTGCTTCGTTTACGTCTCTGGCCGGCAGTGGGGATGGAAGGGGATCTCTGTACGTAAGTCATATGTACTGTACGGACTTGGTGTGTCAACGTTCTAGCTGAAACTAGACATCCCACATGTCTGTGTATACATCACATTGAAACCTGCTGTAGAACTGTCGTATAAAGCTTGCTCTTACTCTTTTCACTCGCACTTGGTGATAAATCCCAACTACACGTGAGTTGAATTGATATGTCACACACATTCCAGAAGGAAGCGTACTCTCGTTTCACGAATGGATGTATGAATGAATGAATGAATGGGACCAGCGTGGGAACTTTGTTCACTTCGTCATCTGTGTAAGCATTGAGGTGAATCAGTGACACCTGCTCGAACTCGTCCTGTCGAGTGAAGGAAGTCGCGATGGACAGTGTTTTTTAAGACGTATCTACTGTCAATCACGATAAAAAGTGTTGGTCAGATAAGGTGAATACAATTTTCGGGAAATTAAACTCAATCTACTCGGATTGTATGTCAGTTTAACCAATGAATCAGTTACTGTTCGTAGGGGTGAATCGGAAGAATCTGGTATTGGAATTTCTGCTATGACAAACTTGGATAAAATGAAAATGGAAATGTCTCCCGTCTCGATTCACATAGTTGGAAATCTTGACCATTTCTTAGTGTGCTCGTTTCTTGACTCGATAAGTAGGTAGGAAATTAAAGATTTAACTAACAAGATTGAGAACGTAATCTTGCTACATCTGCGATGTCTCTACGAGTACAAAACTTTTTTTTATCCTTTGAAATAAAAAGGTTTTAAGGGATAGGAGACATTTTTGCACTGGTGAGGTAGGGGTGAATGGGTAAGCGTGGGTACGCATAAAAAAAAAATACCGTAAAAGACTTTCTGAGATTGAGCTGATTGCATAAAAGAAAGGTATGGTGTACCGATCTATGCACTGAGTGTATGGACCATCGTTCGTTTTAAAGATGGATTTCGAGAATGTAAAAGAAGTTAATGAAAAAACTTTGATCATAGTACAAATAAAGTAATAAAGTAATAAGTAACATATAGCAGGGATAATGGTGGACATATTACTATCATTCTTCATTTTTGAAAGTATTTGAAATTAGTAATGTATCAATTCTTCGAGAGGTGAAAATATCAGTGCATGAGCATGTGCAAATGGATATTTAAAGGATTATTTCAAATCTGAATAGTGAATCTGAACAGCTTACAATGAAATGATTAACAGAGCTTTATCATGTTCAGAGGGGTTACGTTTTTCTGAAACACCAAAACTTAGATTTATCGAAATTGAAAAACTGCCGAATTTTTAAAAATGTACATCACTAAAAGTGTAGGGAAAACTTCATAGAATATCTATAGCAAGATGTACACGATACTGGAGAACATGTCCTGTAAGCACGTGTTCCTAAACTATCCATATACGAAAAATACACACCACCCACTCCATCATCACACGAATAGATACAGCGGGTATGACTACATTTCTTTGGCGGTAAATGTGGACTATAAATTCAAGTTCGAATCTTAAGAGAGCGTCACTTGTCGACAAGAGCATCGTAGTCTCATCATCACTAGCAGTTTCAGTCCTGGACTTGGTTTCCTTGAAATCTTAAGTAACCTGTTTCTTTTCCTTATTGCCTTCCGTAATTCGAAATTGAACCACGGTTAATCATTTGGTTAAATCATAACCTTTTTAGACGGTACACACATTTTTATATAATTATTAAATTTTGAGTAAAAACATTCAATACATTCATCTATATCTTAAAATGTGTTAAAAAGGTCAATCCAATCAGTTGATTGAATAAGGTTGTTTAATTTATCATATTCACCTCTTCCATAACACCATATATCTCTAGTTAATGAAGATTTGGTTGATAAATGGGTTTTCACTGATATATACGTGCCCCTATGATCACTAATCTCATTATGAAAATCAATCACTCCAGAACCAACCACAGAAACATATTCACTTACAATTATCGGATCTAGTAAAGTACTCGTTATTTTAGAAATCCGAGTAGGTTCATTTATCACAATACGTATTTTTTTTCTGTCTAAGAAATCATTTACATGAAGTTTTCTCGCAGACAAAAGATTTTCATTAATATCTTCGACAATCACTAAATATATGTAATGTCGAACGCATTATCAATACTGTCGTCTAGGCGATTTTATTATACTTTGGTCTGTACACAACACACAGAATTAAGGACTTTTGTGGTAGAAATATATGTATCCATATAGTTTCATCAAGGACATTTTCTAACACATTCAATCTGTTATATGCTAACGTTTCATA